ATATAAATAATTAATTACTTAAAAATTATATATATGATTTTTATATAAATCTTATTATTTTTTTTATTAAATTATTTAAGTTTAAAAATAAGTTTTATTAATTTACATATAAATTTCTTAAAAAATCTATTAATTTAATTTTATTTTAATATAATTTCTTAAATAAAACTATAAAAAATATAAAAAAATTATATAAGTAATTTTTAAGTAATCTTTTATTTAAAATTAATTTTTTAAATAATCTTATTTATATATATAACTTAATATAAGTTTTTAAAAAGTGTAAGTTTTAGTGTAAAAGTGGGCGTTTTTCGGAATTACCGGGACCGACTGTATGTTGACCGTTGGACCCCGCATGCTGTCCCGCTTTAACCCGTTGCGTCTTTACTAGCTCCACCACGTGGGTGCATGTAGCAATTGCATCATGACTTCAATGTTGCTATTGGCCCATGCTACTACTGGTCAGGGCGTCAATATATGCATACCACGATATGAAGTAAAGGTTAACTAACTTCTGAGATGGCGAATGGCGCCAAGGTCACCGACGTTGCAAAGACGCAACGCCCACTCACACACACGCAGCATCAAACGTGACGACTCTGCATGTACTTTTGTCCTGCATCGGCAACAACACTGCATGCTTCGGAACATGCATTGGCAGGTGTACGTTTGCGCAAAACTGCTTGTTATCGGAGATTCCTCCGGCCCTGAGCTCCCTGCCAGTTCCGCCCATTCACCTCACATGTACGAAGTATGACTTATTTATCATGATATTCTTGTTAGGCGATGAACCTCGGCGGCGCAAATTGGTCTGCCGTCTTTGCAAGCCATCTCTCCCCTCCCGCTTATGCAGACTAAGAGTGCTAGAAAAAAAAAATGGGCGATTTCCTCCCCAATTCCCGTCGAACCGTCCGCACGTTGGACTTTGCCGACTTTCTGCATGGCGATTCCAACAAACAGAGCAAGTTTTGCCGAGAGCTCATTGAGTGCCTCAGCACTGTGGGATTCGTAAAGCTCGTGAACCACGGGATTAGTGAGAAAGAGCTCTATGAAGTGTTTGAATGGGTAAACAACATCCAATCACAAATCCATACATGGAAGATGCTGACTGGTCCATCGTATGCATACTCTAGAATAAGAGGTTTTTCTCACTCCCCCTCGCCGCGAAGACGAAAGCGGCGCACCCATATGGTCCAAATCCCCATCGCGGCTACAGCTACATCGGGCAGGAGAAGTTGTCCAAGGTCAAGGACTACGAAAAGGGCAGCCGAAATGCTGCCGAGGTTTATGACGTGAAGGTATCCCTTCTAATCTACCTTGTGCCCCTTGCGAGCAATGTTGGGCTGACATGGTTTCTGCAGGAATCGTTTGACCAAGGCCCCGTACACGATGAACTGTATCCGAATAGGTGGCCAGACGAAGATGATCTTCCAAATTTCCGGGCATTCATGGAAGGTTTGTACGAGCGCTGCCACAAAATCCATCAAGAGATTCTCCAAGCTTTAGCACTTGGTCTTGGCCTTGACCCGGGGTTCTTTCGAGATATATGTGACCAGAACACTTCAGAAGTACGCTTGAATCACTACCCCGGGTGCGAAGCTGCCATCCTGCGCAAGGGCGCAAAGAGGATATCTGAGCATACAGACTTTGGCACAGTCACATTGCTCTTCCAGGACTCCGTCGGCGGCCTAGAGATAGAAGACCAGGATGTCCCGGGAGATTACTTTCCCATTCCCTTTGTGAACAGGTCGGAGATGATTGTCAATATCGGTGATTGCCTCCAGCGTTGGTCCAACGACAAGTTCCGCGCCACGAGCCATCGCGTAGTCCTCCCTCCAGGGTCGGGTGATGGCTGGATCGAGGACAGATACTCGGTGGCGTATTTTGGGAAGCCCAATCGGTCACAAGTTGTAGGTGCTCTACCTGAGCTTCTACCAGAGGGAGTAAAATCCAAATATAGCAACATCACTGCTTGGGAATATAATCAAGAGAAACTCACTTTGACATACTAGGATACAAATCACGGAATACAAGAGTATTGCTCGTTATGCGATTTCTAAGCAAGTAAAACAAAAAAGGGGGGACTGAGGACCAGAAAGGGATGAGTAATAGTATCCGTTCACTTGCCAAATAAACAAAGCCGCAACAGCTACCTCGGTCCATTCGGCGCATCTGTCTCTTGTATATATGTTCGTATATATTCCCACGGTTACAAAAGTGGATTTGCCCAGGTCGCGGCGTGAACTCCCCGCTCCAGTGCCTGGTTGATCCGACGCAAAGCTTCCTCCAGATATGCTCGAGGATGTGCAAACACAATGCGAAACATACCCGGCGACTCGCTGTCAAAGTTGCCTCCCCATGCCAAGTAGACTTTATGCGCCCACAAAGCCTGCTTCAGTTCCTCGATGACGTCTTGGTTGGACGCCCTGTCCGGATGCCGGTTGCGATACGCCTGGCCTAGATCAACCCATAGGAAAAACGCAGCGTGGACGCCCGGCGTGAAGGGGATGGCATGGCGCCGCAAGAAATCGGTGGCAAAGGCGTACATGGACGCTAGACGGCGCCGATTTTCAGTGAGGTAGGCACTGACAAATCCGTCGTCCTCGATCATTTGCGTCACGATGTGGTCTGTAATGGACGACACGTACGAGTAGATGGCGACGGAATTCAGCGCCGTGTGGAACGCCCGGTTGGAAAGGGAGATGATGCATCCCAGACGCCAGCCGTTGGCGCCAAAGTCCTTGGAGATTCCCCAGAGAACGTGCACCAGCCCCGGATCGATGAACTCTTCAAGGTCGAGGGCGAGGACCGAGGTGAAAGGGGGGTCGCTCCAGACGGACAGGGCGTAGATTTCGTCGCAGACGAGATGAACTTGGTACTTGTTGCACAACTTCAGGAAAGCCTCAAGGACTTCAGGCGAGTAGCACTGGCCCAGCGGATTATGTGGTGAGCACAGCAGCAATCCCTTGACAGCCGTGCCTTGTTCCCTGGCGGCGAGAATGGTTTCCTCATAGCACCGGATGGCCTCCAAGCTCAACGGATCGACTTCGCCAAAGGTGACGGGCAGGGTAAGCACCTGCGGCCGGAGCGCCAGGTTGACTGCTCCATAGTACGGCCGGCCAAGAATGAAGGCGTCTCCAGGGTTGGCAAACGCCCACGAGGTGTGCTCGAGGGCATTGGACACGCCGTTGGTGACAATGATTTGGGAGGCATCCAAGGGATGATGCGGGTGAAGCTGCCGGTCGAGAAAGCGCGCCAACGCGCTTCGCAATCGGGGACTGCCCATGGGGCCATCCTGGTAGGTCAACACGGAGCCACGCATGTTAATGTGCTGGGAGAGATAGTCCTCCAGCTCGGCTTGCATCAAGTGATTCTCGGCTACGCCCACATTCACGTATCCATTGGGGTTATCGTACGCATCCCAAGGGTCTTTCATCACTTCCCACATCACATTGAGCGCCGACGGGGGAATTTGTTCTCGGGCCCGACGAGAGAGCATGATGGAAGAAAATCTACTCCTAATTATTTACTTATTCCCTACCTGGCCAAGAGGAATAAGTGATACCCACTATGTATGTATTGAATATGACAGTCAGATGGATAATCTCTTGTAGGAAAATTTGATTTTTTTCCCGCTTCTTCTCCGAGAATAACAAACCGGTATTAGCACAAGATTCGCTTCTTATAGTCATTGTCAGCTACCATGTATGTCGCAGTCCAAAGTCTGCATCCAGGTCTCTTACACATCCATCCGTGGATGTGAAGTGTGGCCACCTGATTCTTCACGTTTTAACATGGTAACTTATACATGCGTCAAGACCTTGTCTGTGGCGCCGCATTCCAAAGCGTCCTGGACTCCTGGTGCGATGAAAGGATGAGAAAGCGGGGTAAAATTAGCTTGGAGGGGGCGGCTGGTCTGCCTAGTCCAAGACATGAATTTCAACAGACACGATAGGACGTAATATCAGGTTGCAACTTGTCTGGTGTTTTAAATCTGCATGATAGTCCCGAGCTTAAAGCTACTTGGTAACATGTCGTCCCTATTGTGTTGGCTGCATACTCTAGTACATATTAGGGTCTTGATGCATGAGTGGATTCTGCAGCGCCCCACTTGGCCCTACATGCACAAGGGCGTCTATTGCTTACACCGAATTATGGAAAAGGACAAAAGTGCGACAAGAAATGTTCGGAACAGATAATAGAATACATTTCAGACTTGGGGGGAACAGCCTATTTTGCATCCTATCAATGCCTTGTGTGACAGAATCTGCACCACAAGCCTCATCATGGCCGTGCAATCAACGATGAGATGGATGGGCGTGGGAAGAGCGGGGCTTGTCGGCCACCGAGCCGTCCCGCGCGCTAGTTGCCGAGGTCCCCGGTCATGACTCCACCCGTCCCATCTCCTCATGTTGACCGGTGACGGCGCAGCGCATCGATGGGATCCCCATCATCGCAAATCCCCAGCATTTTATCCGTAACGTAGCCCGCCAGCTTTTGCGCATCGACCGACCATTTCTCCACCTCCTTCTCAGTCCACCATGCAAACTCATTCGCCTACACCCTAGTCAGCGGCAGAGTGACACGCATGAGGGAAAGCTCAGTTGAGTCGGGGAAAAAAAAAAAAAAGAGCCTACCTCTGGGCGAACCCACGAGCGGCAGAAAAAAATAGCATGCAGCAGTCTGGGAGTCTGAGTGGAATTGGCCCCTCCTCCGTGGAGCGCTGAGCCTAGAAAAAGAAAAGCCTCCCCCGGCTGCATCTCCACGGCCCGGACTTGGTCATCGGTGGCTTCGCGCGCATCACCCCAGAGATGGGATCCGGGCACAAACTATAGGATTGCTTTCAATGAGTGATTTTTTTTCATTGGTCGAGAAAATACCGGTGAGAAGAGGCTTACCAACGTGGCTCCATTCGCACGAGTTGTCTGAACCCCTGGCACCAATAACGCAATCCCCAGATCCGATCCCAAGCAATAGCCCGACTCCTCCTGGCTGCGATGTACTTTTTGCCATATGCTGTCGTCACGGTGCAGGGCCTGTCCGGCGCCGCCTGGCAGGGTAAGGATGCTGTTGGCTTGAGACAGAATGGCATTAGTGCTGCGCGCCCGCATACTATTCTTGTCCACCTCGGGAGGGTTCACTGTCCGGAGAAAGTGATTGACAATCGATTGCATGTCGGGGTTCAAAGCCCATTCTTCTCGTGCCGTCTCACTGAGGCCGTACAGAAGACCGCAGTAGATCCGTCCATTGTAAAGGGCTTTGAATGCCTGTGAAGGGCGGGGGACGTGATTAGCCTTGCTGGCGACGGGCGTGGCGAGGAAGAGGGGAGAATGTACCTCATCACTTTTTCTTCTCGCCATAGTTTCGTTGACATCTTGGTTCACTTGCTTGACTTGGCTGGCTGAAGTGAAGGCAGTGAGAATGACTCCTCCGTCCTCCTTAATCACTCGGATTGCTTCCTCTGGAAGATCGAGAGGAACGCGTCGTGCCATGATGAGGGGGCCCGGATTCAAGTCGTTAGAAGGAAGAATTTACGGTAGAAGTGAGAATTTTGCGGTGTTCAACTGAGGAGCCTGAGCCATTTCTTGATTTTTCGGGACCTGAATGTATAGTTGAGGTTGTAAGTACCTACGTACCCTATGATAGCACGTGTAGGGTTACACTGAATCTCTACGTCTGCACCCTCTTGCTAGCACACATACTTAGTGTCAGTTACTGTATTTAAGAGAAAATAATCATATATGGATGGAGTAAAGTGATGAGAGTCTCAGGTATTACTACTCGTATCAGAAAGCAGTGGTGAATACAAACCCGCCTGGTATATCTCATCATAGCACGCCCTAGATGCATCTGACACTCGCTTGGTTACAAATGGCCTTTTGTATATACAAACGTAACATGGGATACGTGCATGTGAAACTAGTCAAAAAAAAAAAGGCATCTACATAGTAAGTTTCTCTGTTGTACATTTTGCGTGATCGGGACCGCAGACTGCATGCCCTGCATGATGCAGGACCAAACTACATTGCTTGGCCCGCGTATTGAGAGCTTCATTCAGAGGTGCATTCACACACCGGGAAAGATCCCGGCAAAGAGCAGAGGGGAAGAAAACGGAGTATTCTACTCTCCGTTTCTCACAAGGTACTTTTGCTGCTCCTTCTGCTTTCACTCCATATACCAAGGTGGGCAAAACCATTGGGCAGGATCACTTACCTGTGACAACGCTGAACTGCATCCCCTCTCTAACCACACTTGATAGAGTTAGAGATAGACGCATACATGCGCACATATGCTAGGCAAATCATACACAAAGAGACAGAATCAAAGAAACATTTCATCACCAAAAACATCGAAATGGGCTCCAGCCCGCAGCAGGCCACCAATGGAGACATGGCAGATGGCCATGCTGCCAGTGCTGATACCAATGACATCAAGCAACTCCAACAATGGAATGGCAAAGGTGTCGCCAGGGACGACACTCTGCGCGTGCACGACCTAATCCAGGCGCATTTCGACGGTCAACCGTCTGCCCCCAGCGTGTGCTCTTGGGATGGTAGTCTGACCTACCGTGACCTGGACCAGCTGTCCTCGGGTCTTGCCGACGAGTTGATGGCCCGAGGAGTTGGCTGTGAGACGTTTGTTCCCCTGTACTTCCAAAAATCGAAATGGACCGCCGTGGCTATTCTTGCTGTTGTTAGAGCCGGAGCGGCCTTTGTGCTGTTGGATGACTCGCACCCCTTGCCGCGTCTGCGCGAGATCTGTGAAGAGGCGCATGCGACGATTGTGTTGGCTGCCTGTGAGCTCCGGGATAAGGCGCAACAGCTGGTAGACGAGTCCCCCGTCATCTTGGTTGGAGAGACGCAGTCGCAGCAATGGCCTCGGGACAACAATGAGTCCTGGAGAGCATCGCCCGTGACGGGAACCAGTGCGTTATACGCCGTGTTTACTTCCGGGTCTACGGGCAAGCCTAAAGGCGCGGTGAACGAACATGCCTCCCTATGCGCTGCGGCCCAGGCATCGGGGCGAGCCCTGGCCATGAGCTGCCGGACAAGGGCCTTTCAATTTGCTTCTTATGCATTCGACCCGACAATCATGGACTTCCTCCGGACGTGGATCTACGGCGGGTGCGTATGCATTCCGTCTCCAGCCCAGGCGAAAAACGACATTGCCGCCGCCATGACCCAGCTCGGGGCCAACCTCGCCAGTCTGACGCCCTCGGTGGCACGCCTCCTCGATGCCGACGCGCTGCCGGCCCTGCGAGCACTAGAATTCGCCGGTGAGCCCATGCTGCAAAGCGACCTGGAGAAATGGGCCGACCGGGTATTGCTGGTCAATGCATACGGCACCGCCGAGTGCTCCGTGTACTCGGTGATTTGCTCTCCGGTGCGCCGCGACGGACATCCGCACAACATCGGCTTCGCGGCCGGATGTGTCGCGTGGATTGTGGACCCGGCCGACCACCACACTCTGCTTCCAATCGGCCAAGCCGGAGAGCTGGTGTTGGAGGGCGCCGGTATAGGACGCGGCTATCTGAGCAACAAGGAGCTGACGGCGGCCTCCTTTGTTCTTGGCCCGGCGTGGCTGCACCAGTTCCGAGGCGAGGAATCCCGTCATATTCGCCTATACAAGACGGGCGACCTGGCGCAATATCAACCCGATGGATCTCTTCGGTGCCTGGGCCGGAAGGACACCCAGGCCAAGGTTCGCGGCCAGCGCATTGAGCTGGGCGAAGTCGAATGGCATATCGGAGACCTGCTCCATCAGCGCCACCAGGTGGTTGTAGACGTGGTCCAGGTGCACCGCGGCGTCGGCACACAGGCCGTCCTCGTAGCATTCGTGCGACTCCGGGATGCTGTGGTCGACGAGGAATCCCCGGCCACTGAGTTGTTTGCCACACCAACAGACGTCTTCCGCCTTCAAATGGAGAAGGTAGAGATGGAACTGAAAGGGCGAGTGCCCGCATACATGGTTCCCGGGGCCTTTGTCGCGCTGAACTATGTTCCCCTGTCGATATCAGGCAAGACAGATCGTAGACGGCTCCGAGAAGAAACCGCCGCACGGCCATGGGCCGGTATTGAGGCGTACATGTTACACCAGAAAAGCAGGCATTATTCTCCGAAAACAGACATCGAAAGGATCCTCCAAGGCTCATTTGCCCATATTCTAGGAGTACAAGCTGAGGAGCTCGCTCCGCATGATTCCTTTTTCCGTAGAGGAGGCGACTCCATCTCGGCCATGCAGCTCAGCGCCCATTGTCGCCGCCGGGGTCTGTCTATTACGACCCAGGAGATTTTCCAGTACCCTACAATTGCTGAATTGAACGCTAGAATCCTCACGCAGGTGGATTCCCAGGCCCCCTCCACGGCCCTGCCATTCCCCCTCTCCCCAGTACAGCACATGCTGCTCCAGCAGAAGAGCTTTCCCAGCCGGGAGTCTCACAGTCTCCAAGTTCCCAGTCGATCCCTATTCCTGCAATTAGCAAGGCCGATCAGTCTGATAGAGTTGGAATCCGCGATACAGTCTGTCATCCATCGCCAGCCTAGCTTGTCCATGAGGTTTACCACTGGAGAAGACGGCCAGTTGATGCAGACAGTGACATCTTTGATCCGGGGCTCGTATCAATGTTCCCATATTCAAACCTCTGCTGCTGCTGCTGTTGCAACACTGGATCCTCGCCCGGAGCGTCTCAACCTGGAAACTGGACCACTTCTTTTGGCTGATTTAATCACCACACAGAGCGATGATAGCCAGCATCTACTCTTAGTAGCACCACAGATCGTTGTTGACGTCCCTTCATGGCAGATCATTCTCAACGAGCTCAGCAGCTGTTTTACCGGCGGTGAACTTTCTTCGTCCGTCGCAACAGCATCGTTCCAGTCGTGGTGTGAGGCTATTAGACCCCATATAAACGGACAACTCAACGGACAGTCCGCTGAATGGACCTTGTCCAACTTTTGGGGATTAGTCGATCCCAGCAGTACGAAGAGTAGCAGGACCATCTCAACTGAGTTCATTTTGGATGCCTCCAGAACCGCCTTGTTGTTACAGAGGGGAGAGCATGCCCTTCGCGCAGAGCCGCCAGAGATACTCCTGGGCGTTTTTTTGCATGCCTTCAGGGCCAGCTTCCCGGGGCGAGACGGTCTACAAATTTTCATCGAACGCGATGGACGGACAGCAGGTGCTTCTCAAGTTGTCGGTCAGTTTACCACCTACACGCCCATCATGTTGCAACCGGGTCAGGATGGGGATGTGGTGGATGTGGTGCGCCGAGCAAAGCACGCTCATCGCAAAGCGCGCAAAGAACATTCAATCCATTCTGGACACGTATTTCCGATGGAGGCAATTTTTCATTGGAAGCAGGAGAAGGAACATCAAGCCCTCAGTTCGGGATCTGAGGTGGGGGAACTGTTTTTGCAAGAGGTATCATCTCCTGTAAGTGGTTGTGAATCGCATCAAGCTCGGAAACCAGCTCTCTTTGAGCTTAATCTGTTGCAATCCGGTAGCTCACTCGCAGTTTCCCTGGTTTATCGGGAGAATATGATGCACCAAGACGCCATCAGTCAATGGTTCCAGCGCTCACAAGATACCTTGGATGAGCTGCTGCCACGATTGGAAAACCTCACGTTTCGGCCTATGCTTGATGACTTCTCCCAGCTGTCCATTACTCCGGCAGAGCTGGAGACGCTGATCTTGGATATCTTAGCTCAGCAAGATATTCTTAGTCTATCCGACATTGCAGACATCTACCCGGCCTCTTTCATTCAGCAGGGAATGTTATTAAGTCAGGCTCGGGACCCTCAGGCCTACTGGTCCCGTACCTCATGGGAGGCACGCTCCCGCGATGGATCTGTAGTCGTACTGCACAGACTTCAGGAGGCATGGCAGCAGGTGGCCATGAGCCACTCTATACTCCGGACTCTATTTGTGCAGAGCCAAGATGGTTCCCACTACCAAGTTCTGTTGATGCATCCGCCCCTTCCAGTCAAAATCCTGCCCTTGAATGCACTGGAGCAAATCCAAGTCACAACAAATGAGGCTCCCGGTGGCTTGAAAAGGCGCACATTACTTCCTTGGAGTCTCACCCTTAGACCTCTAAGTGACGGTAGTGTGACATGCGAGATTCAGATAAGCCACGCCCTCATGGATGGGGAGTCAATGCAATTGTTGATCCGGGACGTTCAACGTGCGTATGATGCGGAACAACCGCATAGGGCCCCTCCCTTGTATAGCCAATATGTCGGTTATCTGAACCAGGTCTCTCGGAATCCTGTGCTAGAATATTGGAAGGGTTACCTCGAGGGGACCGAGCCGTGCCACTTTCCTGCGTTTCCGAGTTCGCAGCTCACTCCGGCAGTTGAGAAGCTCGTAGATCTTGACATTGTCATCGAGGATGCGCACCAGCTGTTTTCTTTCTGCAGGGAAGAGGGCATCACACTCTTCAATGTGGTTCAGCTGGCATGGGCCATTGTGCTTCAATGCTACACGGGCAATGAGACGGTTGCCTTTGGGTATTTAACATCCGGACGAGACGTTCCGATTGATGGGGCAGAGGACATGGTAGGCCCTCTTATCAATATGTTGATTGTGAGAATTGATCTCCAAGGTGACCTAAGCGTCCGGAAGCATTTACACGAATGCCGGGACCGGTATATGCAAAGTATTCCCAACCAGCACTGCTCTCTAGCCGCGATATATCGTGCCCTGGGCCATTCTGGCACACCCATGTTCAACACCATCATCACGTACCAAAAGCTGCTGCCCATTGATACCAGTGCAACCATAGAGTTTATCGAGATCCTTGATCAACAACCTACCGAGGTGAGCTGTATTAATAACTCGACAGAGACGAGAGCTGACCGAATCACACTAGTTCGACATAGTCTTGAATGTCAGGGCTGGCCGCAATGATGCGGCTGTCTCGTTGACCTATTGGGGAAATAAGATTCCGCCTGAGTTGGCTCGCAGCATAAAACGCACTTTCAGCGCCGTACTCGAAGGGATCACAACCCGGCCGGATGTGAATGTGTCCGAGATGAACTTGGTGAGCGCCGCGGACCTGGTTCAAATTATGGATTGGAACGAGCCCCCAGCTGCTACAGTGAGCGCCTGTATCCATGATATGGTCAGGGAGGAATGCATTGCACATCCGGACCGGCTGGCGATAGACGCATGGGATGGAAGCTTCACATACCAACAGTTGTGGGATCATTCCTCCGCGCTGGCTACGTGTCTAATAGACCAGGGAGTCGGACCGGAGATGCCTGTGCCGATTTGCCTTGAAAGGTCCGCCTGGGTGCCTGTTTCTAAGCTGGCTGTCCTAAGGGCAGGAGGTATATGTGTGCCGTTAGACCCTAGCGCTCCCGTCGAGCGTATTCAGGCCATGCTTGAGGAGGCCACGCCAGAGATCATCATCGTCTCATCAACAACGGCCAATATTGACTTTCAATCCTCTGCGAGGAAAATTGTCATTTCTTCAGACACCTTTGCGCACTCCGCCGCGCAACTCCCGGATCCATCTTCGCCGGTGCGACCGAGCAACGGCGCATACATCCTATACACATCCGGCAGCACTGGTCGTCCCAAGGGCATCATCCTTCAACACGATGGGCTTTCCACGAGCATACGTGAGCAGAGTCGCAGATTAAGCATCAATGGTGAGACCCGAGCGCTGCAATTCGCCTCGTACACTTTTGACGTTAGTGTTTGGGAAATCTTTGCGGTACTGACCTCGGGGGGGTGTGTCTGCATCCCTTCCCAAATGGCAAGAATGAATGAGCTGGCGACATTTATATCAGATGCAAAAGTCAACTGGGTAGCCCTAACCCCGTCTTTCGTTCGTCTTTTCCAGCCCAAAGACTTTCCCGGCGTGCGCACCATGATCCTGACCGGAGAGAACCTGCCCCAAGATATCGCGGATACTTGGTGCAGCAAAGTCGAATTTATCAACGCTTATGGGCCTACTGAGTGTACTATTTGCACTGTACAACCGGTAGAGGCTGGTCGATGGACCATGGGCACAATTGGATGGCCCCTTGGAGGTTCTGGCTGGGTCGTTGATCCATCCAACATTAATCGACCCATGCCTATTGGCGCAATAGGAGAGCTCATATTCGAAGGACCTGTTGTAGCTCGCGAATACTTTCGTCGGCCTGATGCCACCAAGACTTCCTTCGTTTCTGCTCGACCATCCTGGTTACCCACGTCTTCTTCTTACAAGGGTTGTCGGTTATATCGAACTGGTGACTTGGTGCATTATAATTCGGATGGTTCTCTGCGATATCTGGGTCGCAAAGACAGCCAAATCAAGCTTCGTGGTCATAGAATTGAACTGGAAGAGGCCGAATTTCTTTTTCGGCGTTATCTGCCTCTGGGATACAATGTCGTGGTTGATGTTATCCATCCGACTGATCAAGTCAGATCTGGTATTTTGATTGCCTTCCTCTGCAATGAGGCGGATATAAGCCAGAATATCCAGCCGGGGTCACTCTTGATGCCAGCGAGCGACAGCTTCCGCTTGCTGTCTCAAGACATCCAAACGAAGCTACCTTTTTCCATCCCCAACCACATGATTCCTCAATTCATGATTCAGATTTCGATGATTCCGAGAACCAAGTCAGGAAAAACTGACCGTCGCTTAATTCGAGTAGCTGCGTCGCGGCTCTCTCGCATCGACCTCGAGATGCTGGTGGATGCCAAGGGAGGAAGCGGAAAGATGCAGCCTACAACGCCAAATGAGAAGCTCATGCAGATTCTCTGGGCTACGGCGCTTGACCTACCGACGGAAAGTGTGGGAACTAGTGACAATCTCTTTCAGCTCGGCGGCGATTCCATCACGGCCATGAGAATCGTGGGCCTTACCCGCGCAGCAGGCTATAGTCTGGTGGTCTCCGACATATTCAGCAGGCCCAGCCTACAACGTTTGGCCGAAGGATTGCAGCGCCGTGATCTATCATTCGTCCAAAATCCTACTCCATTCAGTCTAATACCATCCGAGGAGAAGGCCCAAGCGCTCATAGAGATGGCGACGAACGAGTGCCAGGTATCCTCCGATGAAGTAGAGGACATTTATCCGTGCACTGCGCTTCAGGAGGGTCTTGTGAGTCTTACTATCAAACATCAAGGCTCATATGTAGCCCAGTACCAGCACCGAATCGATCCCGGTGTCGATGTTCCTCGTCTTGCGGCCGCATGGGACACGGTCGTTGCCGCCAACCCCATCCTGCGGACACGAATTATCCAGTCACAGTCCGCTCGCACGTTCCAGGTTGTCTTAAAGCATGGCCCTACCTGCGTGATAGAGTCCTCAGGTCTCGAGGAGACCATGAAGGCCACAAAAGAGGCCAGGATCGCACTAGGAGCACCGCTGCTTCAATGTGTCATAGTCTCAGGAGAGTCTGAAACCTTTTTGGTCCTCACTATTCACCACGCCGTGTATGATGGCTGGTCAATGACGCTTCTTCTGGAGCAATTAGAGTCGGCCTATGCTGGTCAGACTTTGAAGCCGCGCCCGTTCACCGGCTTTGTTGAATATCTGAGTCGTATGGATATATCAGCTCGTAACAGCTTTTGGCGGTCTCAGTTCACAGACTTGAACTGCGCCGTGTTTCCCACTGCCCCGGTTCAGCTTAGCCGTGCTACCATGGCGACTGCTCTGCAGCTTGTAGAGCACAGGCTGAAGACTCCGTCTATAGGCTCCAAGTTTACCCTTTCTACCATAGTCCGCCTGGCCTGGGCTATGGTATTATCCAAGCACACAGATTCGCGTGATGTTGTCTTTGGGGCGACCGTTGCCGGGCGTAGCGCGCCTGTCGCGGACATTGAGCAGATGACAGGCCCTACGATGGCGACAGTCCCATTCCGAGTGCATATTAATCCCGCAGAATCTGTGCTGGACTCATTGGAGAATGTGCAGGCTCGAACAATTGACATGATTCCTTATGAGGCGACTGGTCTACACAACATCAAGGCTCTAGGAGCAGGTGCCGCGGCCGCGTGTCAGTTCCGGAATCTCCTCGTCATTCAACAACAGCAAAGCTTTTACCAGCCAAAACTTATGCATGAGGTTCAGCGATTCACGGAAAATATTGCCGCCATTAACACGTATCCATTGACCCTGCTATGCAATCTCAACGGAGACCATATTTTGATCCAAGCATCCTTTGATTCAAAAGTGCTGAGTAAAGCAGAGACGGAAACATTGTGCTATCATCTGGGACAAGCGACCCTTCAGCTAGTGGAAAAGCATTCCTTAAATGTTTCTGATATTGACCTGGTCGGGCCGGAGACAATACAGCAGCTTCAGGCCTGGAACCAGAATATCCCTCCCCAGGTTGAGGGCCTGGTGCACGAGGTGATAGGCGGTTATTTCAAGAGTCGGCCGCAAGAACCTGCTGTCTGTTCATGGGATGGTAACCTGTCTTATAGCGAGCTAGACAGCTTATCCTCTCAGCTCGCCGAGGTATTAGTCCAGCGAGGGGTAGGGCCAGAAGTACTTATCCCTGTGTTCCTGGAAAAGTGCAAGTGGACCCCTATTGCCATGCTCGCGATCATGCTTGCTGGCGGTGCATTTGTGTTGATGGATCCTGCACAACCCTTGGGTCGTCTAAAACTCATTCATAGTCAGCTGGATGCCCCTGTTTTACTTACGTCCACTTCACTCTCGTCTGCTGCGTTCGACATTGCCTCAACGGTTATTCTTCTGGATAACAATGAATGGCAAGAGGAGACGGATAAAAAATCAACAAAACCTAAAGTGTGGAGGACGTCTGGTGTCCAACCGAACAACAGGGTGTATGCAGTCTTCACCAGCGGCACCACCGGTACCCCAAAGGGCGTTGTCATTGAGCACGCGGCATGTCTCACGAGCATGCAAGCCCTCATAGGTCCCATGGGTATCGACAGGAACACACGGGCTCTCCAGGTGGCTTCTTATGCCTTCGACGTGAGCGTCTCTGACCATCTAGCGACTTTGCTTGCCGGGGGTTGTATCTGTATTCCGCAGGCCTCGCAGCGGGAAAATAACCTTGCATTGGCTGTAAAAGGGCTCCAAGCCAACTACGTGCATATCACCCCATCACTAGCCGAGCTGCTGAGGCCAGAAGATGTTCCTGGACTGCGTACTCTGGTGCTCAGCGGAGAGCCCATGACCGCAGGTCTGGTGGCCACCTGGGCTGACGCAGTGAAGCTGATCAACGCATATGGACCTGCGGAATGTTCTGTTGACTGCTTCGTCAATGCCTCCATCACGAGCACGACAGATCACTCCAACATTGGCTATGCTACCGGTAGTGCTGGCTGGATCGTGGACCAGGACGACCATGATAAGCTGGCTCCAATTGGTACAGTTGGTGAACTTGCAGTCGAGGGCGCGATCTTAAGTCGGGGCTATTTGAATGATGAACAGAAAACTTCTGCTGCCTTTATCCAGGACCCCGCGTGGGTTCGCCGCTTTCCACTCCAACCTGGTCCACGGAGGTTGTACAAAACGGGAGATCTGGTTCAATATCACCAGAAAAACGGGTCAATGCGCTATGTCGGCCGCAAAGACACCCAAGTGAAAGTGAGAGGACAAAGACTTGAGCTAGGAGAAATTGAGCATTATTTGAAGGAGTGTTTTGCAGAGGCGACGCGTCTGATGGTGGACCTGATTGTTCCAGTTAGTGATGACGAAAGACCTGCCTTGATGGCATTCATCGAAATTCCCAGCGAGTATCATGATCTTCGGGGAGAAACTTCTGCACATGGCCTCTTCAATCAACCTAGTGATATGTTCCGAGCCAAAGTGCAGGCGGTGGTCACTCAACTGCGCAAGAAGCTTCCACCTGCCATGGTGCCGGCAATTTTTATTCCCATGGTGAAGATCCCTCTGTCAGCGTCTGGTAAAACGGAGAGAAAAACTGTGCGCCAAGCTGCGTCGCGTCTTTCAAGAGGAGAAAAAAGACGCTACATGGCGGCAAGCAAAGCTAAACGAGCCCCGACCACTGAGACGGAGCGTCTTGTCCAATCTATCTCTGCTCGTGTGTTGAAGGTGCCGGTCGAGGATATCGGAATGAATGATACCTTCTTCGAACATGGAGGAGACTCGATCTCGGCTATCCGCTTTGTTGGGGATGCTCGTCAGGCCGGTTGGACTGTACAGGTGGTAGATATCTTCAGCGAGCCGACCCTCGCAGCGTTGGCTGGAACGATGCATCGCAGTGAAGGCGACTTGACAGCGCGACCAATTCCACCGTTTCTCCTTCTGCCAAATGAGGCGGAAACAGCCCGACTCTGTTCTCTGGTAGCCAGCTCTTGTTCTATATCCACCGATCGGATTCAAGATATCTATCCCGCAACCGCCCTCCAAGCTGGGTTGCTGGCGTTAAGCTTGAAACAACAAGGGGCGTACCAAGGCTATTTTCCTATACGACTGCCGTCCGATGTCGACCTCGATAGCATGAAGAGGGCTTGGGAGTCGACCGCAAAGGCTAATGTCATTCTACGCACTCGAATCGTCCAAGATGCCGATGGACAATTATACCAGGCCGTATTGGATTCTGAGGTTGAGTGGCACGAGGCAGCTAATCTAGATGAGTATTTCAAAGTGGGAGCCTCTATAGCTATACGCATGGGAGGTCCTCTAGCCAGAGCTGCCATTGTGCAGGATTCCAAGCAGGGCGGGTGGTGTCTGGTGGTGACGCTGCATCACGCTTTATACGACGGATGGTCCATCTCTACGCTTGTCCAGGATCTGCAAACAGCCTACCTAGGCCAGATGTTATCTCCTCGTCCGTTCAATGGGTTCGTGGACTACATTTGCCGCGCTGATGATGTTGCTAGCTCCGAGTTTTGGAGAAACGAATTTGAGGGCCTTTCCTGCGGACAGTTCCCGCCGCTGCCGTCAGCTCACTATGTTCCATCCATAGATAGCTTCCTCGAGCACACACTCGCGCTCCGTGGGCTGTCTTCGGACTTCACCATTTCCACAATTGTGCGCCTAGCTTGGGCAGCAGTGATCTCTAGCTACAGCAGCTCGGACGAGGTGGTTTTTGGCACCACTGTTGCTGGACGCAGCGCTCCAGTCCCAGGCATTGAGAACATGACAGGCCCAACTATTGCCACAGTGCCCATCCGCGTTCACGTCGACCCCAATATGCGTATCAAAGATGCACTGGAAGACATCCGCACACGTGGAACCCAAATGATACGATTCGAGCAGGCCGGACTCCAATCCATCCGCTCCCTGAGCCCTGAGGCGGCGTTAGCTTGCCAATTCCAGAGTTTGCTTGTGATTCAGTGGATGAATGAAGAAAGTACCGAATCATCAGACTTCTCTGTGGCCTATGAGTATGCTCATGACGAGAAAGCATTCTCCTCATATGCCATCAACCTCACGTGCGACTTGGCTTCCTCTTCAGTCAAGTTCCGCGTCGCGTTTGACAGCCACATTACCGAGCCCGCCGTCATGCAAATGATGATGTTTCAGCTGTCTCATGCCATTTCCCGAATCATGGATAACGCTATGTTTGTGAGGGATCTGAAGGAGATTAGTCCACAGGGCATGCAATCTCTCCTAGAGCGGAACACCCATATCCCACCACGTGTTCCGGCTTGCGTGCACGATTTAATTTTGTTTTACAGCAAGAGTACGCCGGACGCAATCGCCGTGGACGCCTGGGATGGGACACTAACGTACCGCGAGCTGGACTTGTCTTCCTCCAGCCTATCGGCGCACCTACTCTCCTCAGCCCAAGTGAAGCCGGAGATGATTGTCCCTATCTTATCAGAGAAGTCCATGAACACAGCGATTGCGCTGCTTGGTGTGATGCGGGCTGGCTGTGCGTTTCTTCTGCTGGACTCTTCACAGCCAGCCGCCCGCCTGAAATCCCTCTGCGAAGCTGTTGAGACAAAAATTGTTGTAGTATCAGCGAAACACGCGGATCTAGCATCTACACTGGCCCCAGATGCACAGATAGTAGTGTGCTCGCGGCAAAATCTTGCCTCCTCTGGTTTGCCTAATGGAGTGGCCCTCCCTGTTCCGGCTTCTGATCCCAGGCAAATTGCCTACTGCGTCTTCACCAGTGGATCTACTGGTACACCAAAATGCATCCTTATCGAGCATTCCTCCTTCTGTACCAGCAGCCTGGCGGTTGGGCGGCTCATCGGTATGGACCAAAGCACACGGGTCTTCCAATTCGCATCCTATGCATTCGATGTCAGTATCACCGATCATCTGCTTCCTTTAATGCATGGAGGCTCCATCTTTATTCCACACAGCGAGCGTGTCAAGAACAACCTCCCGGCTGCTTTGAGGGAGTCGCGCGCAACCTTTGCAGAATTGACTCCCTCTGTGGCTAGAATGCTTGATGTAGGCGATGTATCCAGTCTACAGATCCTCGTCATGAGCGGTGAGGCCATGACTCAAGCGGATGTTGAGAAATGGCAAGACAAAGTCCGTCTCATCAATCTGTACGGGCCTGCGGAGTGCTCCTGTGCCGCAACTGGGCGAAACCCGGTGAGCCTAGATCGGCCTCCTCAAGTGCTCGGTAAGGATATGGGAGGCGTTTGTTGGGTTGTAGATCCTGCTGATGACGAGCAACTGGTCCCTATCGGCGCAATAGGTGAGCTAGTTATCGAGGGACCAATTGTTGGACGAGGATACCTCAATGCCCCGGAACTGACAGCATCCGTCTTCGTTCCATCGATGCGATGGCTCCAGCGAGTTCGCGGCGAAGAAGATCGAGTGTACAAAACTGGCGACCTTGTGCAGCTACTACCTACCGGGGACCTGAAATACATCGGCCGCAAAGATCTCCAGGTAAAAGTTCACGGTCAGCGAATTGAATTAGGCGAAGTCGAGCACCATGTGCATCGCTTGTTCCCCCAGGCGACCAACGTTGCAGCGGAGGTTCTTCATCCAAATGAACAACAGGGCAAGTCCATTCTTGCAGCTTTCTTGGAAGTTCCTCCTTTGCAGAAACTCCCCGACGGCCACTCACCGTCGATGGAGATGAGCATACTCCCAGCAACAGCCTCGTTCCTTGCCGATGTGCAGAGGACCGAGTCCAAACTGCGCGACATGATTCCGACCTATATGATTCCCACTCTTTTCCTGCCTGTGAATCGCATTGCACTGTCGCTATCGGGGAAGGTGAACCGTGGCATGCTGCAGAATCTTGGGAGGAATTTGAATCGAAAGGACATTAAGGCCTTCTCAAACCCTCGCAGAACCAAACGAGCACCGGAAACAGAAATGCAACGTGCTCTAGGGATGCTATGTGCCAAGGTCTTGAACCTACCTCTTGGCGAGGTCAGCATCGACGATAGCTTTCTCGCGTTGGGCGGTGATTCCATCAGTGCCATGTCGCTCGTAGCGCGTGCAAGTGCGCTTCAGATTGCCATGTCTGTTGAGGATGTCTTGACCCAGAGCACGATTGAGAAACTGGCGTCGCGTGCCAAAAATACCACACCCCAGCTCCTGCCGCAACCTGAGGAGCTAGATGCGTCGTTTGCATTGTCTCCGATACAAGAGATGTTTTTCGAAGTCGTGCCGCAGGAGTCTTATAATCACTATAATCAAAGCTTCTTCCTGTCTCTCGCAAGAAACGTTTCTGTGGAAGACTTGGAGCACGCTGTCCGCGAGGTAGTCCGACATCACGTGATGCTACGAGCCCGGTTTAGTCAAGATGCACAGGGTCGGTGGACGCAGAGCGTAACTTCCAAGCCGGAGTCGTTCTCGTCCTATTTATTCAAATCGCACGAGGTGGCTGATGTTACGTCCATTGAGCCCCATGCATGGAAGACCCAGCATAGCCTGAATATCGTGAGTGGACCTTTGCTGGCAGTTGACCTCTATCAAGTCCATGGTCAGGGGCAATACATTCTCCTAGTGGCGCATCATCTCGTGGTAGACCACGTCTCGTGGCGAATTATCCTCAGCGACCTGGAGGAGTTCCTTGAAGCGTCTTTCGCCTCTAACGCTCGTGGTCGTCGCAACGTCGAGTCATCATTATCCTTTCAGTCGTGGTGCCATCTCCAGGCTCAGCATGTCCGGGAACAACTGCCCCCTCAGAGAGTTTATCCGACACCTACAGAGAACCATGTCCCGCTTTCGACAATTTCTACATGTATGGACTACTGGGGCTTGACAAGCCGATCTAACACCTATTCGGATGTTGTCTCTATCGGCTTCACTTTGGGTGCAGAAGTGACCGAGAGTCTTCTGGGTGACGCTAATGATGCCTTGCGGACGAGACCCGTGGAAATCATTCAGGCTGCGCTCGTCTTCTCGTTTATGAAACAGTTCCCAGATCGAGATGCGCCAATCCTCCATAGCGAGGGCCATGGAAGAGAAGTATGGGATCCGTCCATCGATTTGTCCCGAACCGTAGGATGGTTTACCACCATATGGCCTACCCTAATCACGGTGCAACCTACGCATAGTCTTATCGAGGTGGTGAAACGAACCAAAGATGGGCGACGACAAGTCCGTAATAACGGATGGGCTTATTTTGCATCACGATTCCTACATCCAGCAGGACGCAATCAATTGCCACTGGAGGTGCCCCTTGAGATAGTTTTCAACTATGCTGGATCATTCCAACAGTTGGAACAGCGACAGGGACTATTCCACATGGCTGAGACTCAGTATACGCGATTTGACGTAGCAGCTACTGCCACTCGATTTGAATTATTTGACGTCTCAGCTGTAGTCAATCGTGGACAGCTGCAGGTGGAAATCTCCTATCACCAAGCTATTCCCCGGGATCGCATGCGGCAGTGGGGTTCATCCTTTGAGGCTGCCTTGTGCGAGGCCAGTGTGACGCTTCAGCAAATCCAGAGGCAATTTACGCTTGCCGACTTCCCTCTTCTACAGATCGGCTACGACGATCTGGCATATCTGGTCGATACGGTTGCCGCCGTGACAGGAGTACGCGATATAACAGCGATCGAGGACGCCTACTCCTGTTCGAGCATTCAACTAGGCATGCTTCTCAGTCAAGCCAAGGACTCAGCACAGTACATTACCAGCACTACATGGGAGGTTGAAAGTATGGAAGGCATCGACATTGACCGCTTCATACGCTCATGGCAAAAGGTTGTCGATCACAATCCCATTCTCCGCACCATCTTCGTGGAGAGCCATTCGGGTCAGCTCTGGGACCAAGTGGTGCTGAGACACTCAGCCGGCGATGTCCTTCTTGTCGATCCTGATAGTAAAAACTCTCCGGCTCCTCAAGGGCTCGGTGGTGTCACAGCATCCCGCCCGTGGCAACTCATTGTAACTCGTGCAGGTATTGCGCTCTTGTGTGAGCTTCGCATTCTTCACGCTCTGGTGGATGGGGTTTCAACGAGTTTGCTTGAACAGCAACTGTCTCGTGCTTATGAAGACCAAGTTGTCTCCGAGCCCGTGGCAACTCTAAAAGACTATATTTCTTATGTTCAGGGTCTTCCCAGTGGAGCAGCCACGCAGTTCTGGGCCACGTATCTTGAGGGGTCAGACCACTGTACCCTTCCCACTCTGCACCATTCTCAAGATCCCAATTATCCGGGTTCAGTGTCGTATGTCACCCGGAAGCTTGACGATCTTCGCCCACTGCAAGTGTTCTGTGGAGAGAATGGGGTCACCCTGTTTAGTCTGGTTCAGCTGGCTTGGGGTTTGGTTCTGAGGGCTTACACCGCATCTGATGCTGTATGCTTTGGCTATCTGGCCACCGGTCGAAATATGCCCATTGCTGGAATAGACAAGGCTATCGGGCCTTTCATCAATATCCTTGTAAGCAAGATGCACTTGGACGGCGGCAACGCCATTAGGGATTTGGTCCAGTCCATTCACTCGGATTTCCTACAAGGGCTGGGTCATCAGCACACCTCGCTAGTCGAGATATATCATTCATTGGGAATTTCTGGTCGTGGCTTGTTCAATACGGTGGTCTCAGTCCAGAGCAGACCCGAGCAACAACAAGTCAATCATACTTCTGGGCTTTCCATGCGTACAGTCGACAGTGACGACCCGACAGAGGTAGGTTTTTCCATCTCCACGTTTTGCATTACATTCACATAAAGCGTCGCTAATATATACTGCAGTATGACCTTACGTTGAACGTTTCTGTATCCAAGGACGATATGGAATATGCCCTGTGGTATTACGAACACTCATTCACAACAAGCCAGGTCCATGATCTCGCAGCTGCCTTTGAAAGAGCCCTTCTGAGTTCGGTAGCCTTGACGAATGCAAAAGTCCGGGATGTCGATCTCCTAAGCGACGATCATCTCCACTGGTTACAGTTGCGGAACGAGGTTCTCCCCGAGACGCGACAGGAGTGCATACATGAAGCCATCGAGCCATTCTTCCTGTCTACCCCTTCAGCTCAGGCTGTTTGTGCATGGGATGGTGATTTCTCTTACGCGGAGCTAGATCAGCTGTCACTCAGCCTATCTCGAGTTTTGACCCTCCGTGGTGTTGAACCGGAGACGTATGTGACCATACACTGTGAGAAATCTAGGTGGACATCTGTGGCCATGCTTGCCGTTCTCCGTGCTGGCGGTGCTTTTACCCTCCTTGATCCTTCTCTCCCCCTAGCCCATAAGCAGACCATTTGTTCTGATCTAGGTTGTCAAATCATGATCTCCTCTAGAACCGCTGATGATGCGTCGTCGCTGGTCAGAGAGATGATCATGATTGGCGACGGCGAAGATGAGTCGTGGGTCGTGCCCCCATCGGAGCCCATACGATCATCGCAAGCCAAGCCTGCACATGCAGCGTATGCGGTTTTCACCTCTGGTTCAACTGGGAAACCCAAAGGCGTTGTTATTGATCATTCTTCCTTTTGTACCAGTGCGATAGCCCAGCATCAATCCTTATCCATTAATAGTTCTACTCGCGTGCTCCAATTTTCCGCCTACACCTGGGACGTGAGCATCATGGACCAGCTGGCAACGTTCATGGCAGGTGGTTGCGTCTGCATACCTTCGGAATCTCAACGAGTGAACGCGCTAGCAGAGGCTATTCAACAATACGGCGCTACCTGGATTCAAACAACGCCGCCGGTCATTCGTCTGCTCGAGCCTACCAAGGTCCCATCGCTACGAACCATAATTCTCATTGGTGAAACCCCATCATACGATGATATAAAGATGTGGCGGGGCCGGGTATCACTTCGGGAGACATTTGGTCCGACGGAGTGTTCGGTCCTGGCTCTGGTCAACCCAGACCTATCATCTGATCCAAGGAACATTGGTCGTGAGAGCGGCTGTATTTGTTGGATTGTTGATCCAGACGATCACAACAAGCTGGTAGCGGTAGGGGCCATTGGGGAACTGCTCATCGAAGGCCCAATTCTTGGCCGCGGTTATTTGAATGACCCTCTAAAGACGTCAGCAGCGTTTATTGAAAACCCAGCATGGGCAGAAAAGTTCCGTAACAACCAGACTGTGCGACTCTATAAGACGGGGGATTTGGTTCATTATTGCCCAGACGGGTCCATCCGTTTCTTCCGGCGCAAGGACACCCAAGTCAAACTTAGGGGCCAACGCATTGAGCCTGGTGAGGTTGAGCATCATATATCCAATAGCTTCGACGGTGCGGAACGTGTCGTAGTGGATGTTCTCGCGTTGGAATCAGAAACCCCTCGTTCATTTTTGGTCGCCTTTATCAAGTCCGCGAGTCTAAATGACAACAACGACACTGACAGTGACGCCGATTTCTTTTCTCCTCCAAGTACAACATTTTCTGCACAGGTGGCCCTCACTCAAGCCCGGCTGCAAAACCAGCTGCCTAAGCACATGGTGCCCACGATCTTTCTGCCTCTGAACTTTGTCCCTCTGACTAGTTCTTGCAAGACAGATCGTCGTATGCTGAAACGAAAAGCAGCGGCGCTGACACGGAGTGAGCTAGAAACATATATGCACGCGGGTGCGTCAGTCAAGCAGACTCCCGCAACCGAAATGGAACAGAAGTTACATCTACTCTGGGCCAAGGTGCTGAACTTGGCCACGGAGATGATCGGAACTAATGATGACTTTTTCCACCTGGGCGGGGATTCCATTTCTGCCATGCAGCTGGTTTTCCAATGTCGCCGTATCGGTATTTCTATTGACATGGAAGATGTATTTCGGCATCGCACCCTTGTCGGAATTGCCAGTCATGCTCGAAACGAAAAAAATAGTGCTATTGCGCTGGCTGTTGAAAAGATCGATGAACCATTCCCCTTGTCTTCAAGCCAGCAACTCTTCTTCCAATTTTCTCCACATGGTTTTGATGACTTCAATTACTGTAGCGTCATGAAGATTCCTCGAATTGGGGCTGAGCGTCTGCGACGGGCCATCAAGACCATTGTCGAGCGTCATTCCATGCTTCGTGCTCGGTTCAGCCAGGATTGTGACGGCTCCTGGATGCAGCGCATCACATCCCAAACTGAAGGGTCGTACCGATTTCAGCACTCGACCATTTCTGGGGAGAGTGAAATCACTCAGGCGCTGCAAAGTGCCCAAGAGTGTATTAGTATTCAGCATGGTCCTCTTCTAGCTGCAGATCATGTGCAACTAAGCGGACAGAAAGACGATCATCTCATTCTTGTTGTCCATCGTCTCGTCGCTGACCTGGCTTCGTGGGGCATTATACTTGGTGATCTGAAGACTATATTAAGCCAGAAGAACCCGGTCTCTGCATCGGCTCCGGCATCAACGTCATACCAGGCTTGGTGCAGTCTGCAGACAGATTCCATTCCTAGGGATTTTCTCTCCAAAAATAAACTCCTTCCTTACTCAGGGAGCCAAGTGCCCATGGTCTATCCACTTGAGTTTTGGGGTATGGTAGGACGTCCAAATCAGGTCAAACACTCCAACACCACCACATTTACGATTGACCATTCCACCACAAATCTTCTTCTGGGCCGTGCCAACCGGGCATTTCAGACGCAGCCAGCCGAGATCTTACATGCGGCATTGATCTATTCTTTCCTTCAGGCCTTCGTGGAGCGGAACCCTCCTGTAATGTACAATGAAGGTTACAGCCGTGAGCCTGCAGATGGATCCATTGATACTTCACATACGGTCGGGTTGTTTGCTACAATCCATCCCACCCCAGTCAATGTCGACAATTGTAAGAATCTGGTAGAGATGGTACGTCGCACAAAAGATGCCCACCGCTCTGCTACTCCAAATGACTGGGCCCGTCTTGGTTCGTGCTCCAAAGATTCGCCTGGCTTGGAGTGCATATCACCAGGGCCGTTCGAAATCATCTTCAACTTCGAGGGGGTAAAAAAGCAGTCCGAGGATAACAACTCGATCTTACAAATTATTAGATCGCCATATGCAGAGTATCCAGCAATCGATAGAGCTATAGAAGCACCACGCTTTGCACTCATTAATATCTCAGCCGTCATTGTCCAAGGGGAGTTGGTGACGCATTTCACCTTCAATCAGCGGATGAAACACCAAGATCTACTGAAAGTCTGGGTTGATGAGTATCAAAAGTCGATCACCAGGGCGGTTATTGATTTAAGTCACGCACCCCCGGGCTATACACTAAGCGATTTTCCCCTACTCAAAATAACCTACGAAGATCTCGACGCATTTATCGCCAGGGCCCGGGATCAAATTGGTCCGGAAGAGGGAGAAAACAGTGCCATCATCGAGGATGCATACCCATGCTCTCCTATTCAACGTGGTATCCTGCTCAGCAAATCCAAGAACGATGATCTCTACAGTCCTCGCTTTACTTGGAAACTTCAAGTCGCTGGAAAGAACCTGATTGACCTGAGCCGGCTCCGAGAAGCATGGGAAAGGGTTCTTGGCCGACACCCCGTTTTCCGAACGGTCTTTGTCCAGAGCAGTTGGCATATGGAATACTATAATCAAGCAGTCATGGTCTCATTGCCGGACAACATCACCACCTTGCAGTATGACGACGAAGACGTGATGGAATTGGTCCATGATTATCGTGCAACTCGAGATCAGAATGCTCTGTGGCACCTCGTTTTATGCCAGAGCAAGAGGGGTGACACATTTTGCGACTTGAAAGTCAGCCACGCCTTGATTGATGGAACATCCATGGCTGTTCTGACACGGGAAGTGCAGTTAGCATATGACGAGATGCTCTCTGCAGGCGCCGGGCCGCCCTACGGCGACTATATCAGGTACCTACAATCCACCCCGGTGGACACTGTCATTGATTACTGGAAGAAGAAGCTCTCCACCATATCACCGTGTATGTTCCCTAGGATCAGCAGCCATAGTAGGCCACCTTCTACCAGTAACAACAAGCGAGAGCTGCGCTCTGTCGAGCTGGAGATCGAGGACGCCTCTATCATCTACCAGTTCTGCAGGCAATATGGATTTACCATCTCCAACATCCTTCAGGTAGCTTGGGCTCTTATTCTGCAGTGCTATACCACATCCAAATCCGTCTGTTTTGCGTACGTCACGTCTGGTCGTGACGTCCCCGTGTCAAACATTGAAGGAGCTGTCGGTCCTTTCATCAACGTTTTGATCAGTCACATGCCACTGGATCCAGATATGCCTCTGCTCGGTGTGTTGCGGGTTAATCAAGATGATAACGTTGACAACCTGAAGTATCAAAACTGTTCCCTCGCAGAGATATTCCACGCCATGTCCATAGGTGCAGCGGAACTGTTCAACTCCAGCATATCTGTGCAGAACAGGACTTCAGACTACGACTCATCCGGTGCATCTTTCGAGTTCTCGGTAGTAAATGGAGAGGACCGAACAGAGGTACAATATCGGAATCTCTATGCTTTCTTCCCCCCTTACTTGATTCTAACGTTTATTCATATTCATCTAGTATGACATCACTATACACGCCCTCGTAGACAGGCAAGGGGTTTCCCTTTCGCTGAATTACTGGAAGGACGAGCACCTATCAGCAGAGCAAGCCGGTCAGATCCTTCGCACAATGAAAGAGGCGGTAATTAGCATCGCGACCTATCCCAACGTCAAAGTTGGACAGGTGAGTCTGTTGAGCTCTGAGGATCAGCTCCAGATCCATAAGTGGCACGAGATTCCCATAGCCCTCAACTCCTGCGTGCATGACCTCATTGAGCGACATTTCCAATGCAGTCCCTCCTCCATGGCAGTCCACTCTTGGGACGGCGACCTCTCATATCAAGATTTGGATCGCCTTTCATCCAGACTTGCCGCTCAACTCGTAGACTTGGGAGTTCAAGCAGAAACATTTATCCCACTGCTGTTTGAAAGGTCCATGTGGGTTGTTGTTTCGATTCTTGCGGTGATGAAATCTGGTGCTGCATTCGTTCTCCTGGACCCGACTAGCTCTGTAAGCCGCCTGGAGCAAGTGTGTGCAGACGCCAAGGTCAAGATGGTCCTCAGCTCGATGGCCAATAAAGAAATACTGCGTCATCTTCCAGTTGATCTTGTTGTAGTGGACAGAGAAGCTGAGTACCTCTGGCCGTCTGTCGTAGTACTGCCGTCTGTTGCGAAGCCTCAAAATGCTCTGTCCGCCGTCTTCACCCCTGAGTCTAGCGGTAAGCTGAATGGGCTCATTTTTGAACATGCCTCGTTTTGTTCGGCTGTGGAAACGAACAAGGGGCCTTTGGGGATAGACAGCAACACTCGGATGTTACAAGTTGCCTCATTTGCATCTGACACAAGCATTGGTGACTATTTGATGGCACTCACACAAGGCGGCTGTGTGTGTATCCCATCTGCATCTCAGCTGGGGGACGTTGAAAAGGCGATTTGTGATCTGAATGCTAACTGGGTAAATCTCACTCCCTCAGTGGCCCGGCGTATCAACCCTTCGCGTGTCCCATCCCTGAAGACAGTTTATCTTGGGGGCGAGCCCACGACTTCCTGGGACGTGACAAGGTGGCAGGGCTTTGTGCGGTTGGTTCAAGGCTATAGCCCTACTGGGTTTCTAGTTCGTGGTACTATCCGGTCCAACACTCTGAACACATCAGACCCGCGTGATACCGGCGTCGGAACGGGTGTGGTGTGTTGGATTGTAGATCCTTCAAATCACCAAAGACTCCTCCCTCCGGGTGCCATTGGAGAGCTTCTTCTTCAAGGCCCTATTCTCGGCCGTGGCAATCTTGGAGGCCAGGAGCAAAATAATACCTTTTTTACCAAGACTCCAATCTGGTTGCAACATCTCAAACCAAGTGTCTTTAGTCAGCTATACAAGACGGGTGACCTGGCTCGATACCAGTCCGATGGATCGATCCTGTATATGGGACACAAGGACGCTCAAGCGAAGCTCCAAGGTCAGCGGCTAGAGCTCGAAGAAATTGCCTTTCATATCCGTCAATACTTCCCCCAGGACAGGGACGTGGTTGTTGATGTGATCCGACCTGATAAAGGGAATGCGAAACCAATATTGGCCGCATTCATCAGTCACTCTTTCAGCTCAGTCATTGGTGGTCCAGACAATGTTGTTTTTGCTGGACCTTTGGTTGCTTTCCAGATGGCAATTCTCGCGGCGCAAGCCCAGCTCGCGGAGATATTACCCCCTTCCATGGTTCCTGCAGCATTCCTTCCTGTGGAAAGGATTCCGCTCAGTGTAGCTGGCAAGGTGAACCGGAAACTTCTCCAGGAGGCCGCCTCAAATCTCTCACTAAAGCAAATCGATGCATATGTCAATTATTCCCCGCTTGGCGACGAAGGAAGAATTCCAGCCAGTGAACTCGAGAGATCATTGCAAGCTTGTGTTGCCCGTGTGCTCAACAAGGCTCCTAGTAATGTAGGCGTGGACGATAACTTCTTCCGCCTCGGAGGAGACTCTATCAGTGCCATGACCCTTGTTTCTCAGTGTCGCCAGCACGGAATGGCGGTAACTGTTGCGGATATTTTCCGTCACAAAAGTATTCGACGATTGGCCTCCCATATTCAGTCAGCCAAGGCGACAGCAGCAGAGAGTAAGGAAACTGTGGGAACGGTATTCGACCTTTCCCCCATTCAACAGGCGTTTTTTGATCGAAACCCAGAGGGCCTAAACAACTTCAGTCAGAGCTTCTTAGTCAAGCTCAGACAACCAAGGGAATCCATTGAGACTGCTATTGCGACAATAGTAAAAAGACACACAATGCTCCGCGCCCGATTCAGGAAAGAAGCTGGAGTTTGGGTACAGTTGGTCACTGATGATATTGAGGATTCATATCGTTATCGCAACCTAACACTCTCTGTTGCGGAGACGACCAAGAAGTGTTTCGTGGAAAGCCAGGCGGCTCTTGACTTCATGCAAGGCCCCTTGTTAGTGGCAGACCACGTAACTGTTGGTGACGATCAGTATCTCTTCCTCGCTGCGCATCATCTCGTCATTGACCTTGTCTCGTGGAGGATCATTTTGAACGATCTTGAGATGCTACTCGGAGGAGAGTCCTTGCCACCTCTATGCTCCTTGCCCTTCCAGGTCTGGTGCCATTTACAAGGCGAATACGCAAAAAAGCATCTCATCCCGTCACAGACACTTCCATTGCTGGCGAATATACCGGATTTTGAGCTTAATGTTGAAGAATATTGGGGGGTGCCCAAGTGTTCGAACATCTATGCCGACGTGATGTCTATCAAATTCAACATCAATGCACATGTCACAAAGCTGCTACTTGGGCCCGCAAATGAAGTACTACAAACCAAACCCGTTGAGCTTCTGCACGCTGCAATTCTCCTTTCATTTGTCAAGTCGTTCCCAGATCGTCCACCCCCAATTATATACCAGGAAGGTCACGGAAGAGAACCTTGGAACAGCTCCGTGGATGTCTCGGGAACTGTGGGTTGGTTCACAACTATCTGGCCTGCCCTTATTCGCGCCAAGGCGGACTCGAGCTTTATGGACGTGGCGCAACTTACAAAGGACATTATACGCCAGACACAAGCCAACGGTTGGAGCTACTTCACTGCCCGGTATTTGCATCCCGAGGGAAGTAAACGGCTTATTTTCAGAGAGCCGAAGGAGATTCTTATGAATTACCATGGAAGTTATCAGAGTCTGGAGAGCAAAGATACGATCCTCCAAGTCACATCTGATATTTCGGACATACCGGCTGGGGTGGATCCGCGGATGCCAAGGGGCGAGATATTCGACATCGAGATTTGGGTCTCTGGGGATACTTTGGAGTTCGATTTCACGTATAACAAGCATTCCCTGCGCCAAGCGTCCATCCAGAATTGGGTTTCTTCCTGTCGGATTCTCCTTGAAAGCGCGGCCGAGGAGCTGTCTGATGCTTCTTGTCACTATGCCTTTAGCAACTTCCCCCAGCTGTCACTGGCCGGCCCTGAAATTTCTCAACCTTCTCAGAATCCTTGTCACAACGACATTGACCCAGCCTCGGTGCAGGGAGTCTATCCTTGCTCGCCCGTACAACAAGGAATACTATTAAGCCAGGGGAGAAACAATGCATTGTACACTACCAGAACGGTCTGGAAGGTATCGACTCCAGACTCGGGCCTACCCATCTCTATCAGTCAAATTCAACAGGCGTGGGCCCAGGTCGTGATGAGACACTCGGTACTCCGTACCATTATCACTGAGAGTACTTCCCGCGACAGGCTACACGATCAATTGGTCATTGATCACGGAGCCGGCAAAGTCATCGTTTCGGATGGTATCGATTCTCCAATGGAGCCCCCAGGAACTTTGCCCTGGCAATTCATTATCAAGCGAACATGTGGTGCAGAGATTCTCTGTGAATTCGCTATTAGCCATGCCCTAGTCGACGGTATCTCCATTAGTATCCTTGGCACAGAGCTGAACAGTCTGATAGGCGGAAAGTTTATTGACTCGCCGGTTATGCCATACAAAGACTATATTTCTTACTTGACATCTGTTCCTCGCCAGCAGATTGCTGACTATTGGGGGGAATATCTCAGTGACGTCAACCCAACCCTATTCCCTATCTTAAATGATTCTTCTGAGGGCAAATTGCATTTTGTGACTCGCTATATTGACGCACAGCTCATCAGAGCTTTCTGCAAGACATACGGATTCACGTTATCCAACGTGATACAGGTAGCATGGGCCCTGGTCTTACGCTGCTACACCGGCACAGACGATGTTTGCTTTGGCTACTTAACATCTGGGCGAGATATTCCGCTCTACGGTATTGAGAATGCGGTTGGCCTGTTTATTAATATGCTAGTGTGTCGCCTACAGCTGGACAGCAACCGCCAAATGCTGTCAATTCTACAGAGAAACGAAAGCGACTTTATTCGCAGTCTCGACCACCAACAGTGCTCGCTGGCTGAAATCCAGCATGACTTGGGCCTCAACAGAGAGCCACTCTTCAATTCCATCATCTCTTATCAGGCAGCTTTTCCAATACAAGAACAAACCGGGGACCAGGTACATGACAAACACGCGCTAGCCTTGATAGAGACGGTCGGAGGAGAAGATCCAACAGAGGTACGGATTCTTTATGCCTATTGAACACCCACCGGGACACCGCAGAGTATATGTAACAAAGCAAAGAAGATACCATAAGCTAACATGCAATCTAGTACGGATTGGTCATCAATGTGAATGCTAGCAGCGATAACGTCAGCCTCTCCCTCAGTTTCTGGGACAACTTCCTCTCTCCCGAACAAGGATCCAGACTCTGTGATAGTTTAGTGCAGACCATTTCGAGTATCACCGATGGTCCCTCCATAACCGTCGGCGACATCGACCTAGTTAGTCAGGAGGAGCTCAACATTATTCACTCTTGGAACGCGCAATTGCCGCAGACAGAAGAAGTATGTGTCCATGACCTGATTCTTGATCAATGCCGGGTTCATCCTGAGGCACCAGCCGTCTGCGCATGGGATGGCAACTTCAACTACCAGGATCTTGGCCAGCTCTCTGAGGAGCTGGCCATACAGCTTCAGATGCTCGGAGTTGGACCTGATGTCTTTGTGCCACTACTCTTTGAGAAGTCGAAATGGGTCTCTGTGGCGATGTGTGCGGTCATGAGAGCCGGCGGAGCATTTATTTTGCTAGATGATTCCTATCCAGAAGCCCGTTTGCGTGAAATATGCGAGACTTCACGCTGCCCTCTTGTCATATCCTCATCCTCCACCTATAGGAAAGCTGCGCCGCTCACTGAGCGGGTGGTTATTGTCTCCGAGAGCGAAGCTGCGCAATGGAAGTCAAATCTAAAGACATGGTCCCTTCAACATAATGTCCTCCCTCGTCATGCCCTCTATTGTGTCTTTACCTCCGGCTCGACCGGTAAACCCAAAGGCGCGGTTATCGAGCACTCAAGCTATGCAACAAGTGGCCTATCGCTCCAAAAACGACTGAGAGTTACGAACGAATCTCGAGTATTTCAATTTGCTTCGCACGCGTTTGATGTGAGCATTAGCGACTACTTGACGACCTTCATAGCGGGCGGGTGCATATGTGTTCCCTCCGAAATTGAGCGAATAAATAATATTCCCCACGCGGTGCAAACACTGGACGCAAACTGGATGCACATTACGCCATCCGTCGCGCAGATTCTGCACCCGTCGCAAGTAGAAGGGATCAAGATCTTGGTCTTAAGCGGTGAGGCTATTAAGGCAGAGAACATCAAGACATGGGGACATTCAGTTCATCTCATCAATGCATACGGGCCAGCTGAGTGTTCTGTAGACTGTGTCGTCAACGATCAGGTGGCATCAAGGCCTTCAAGCATTGGATACGCAAGTGGTGCAACCTGTTGGGTCACCGACAGAAATAATCCCGCTCGACTACTTCCCATTGGTGTTGTTGGAGAGTTGGTTGTCGAAGGTCCCATCGTCGGTCGCGGGTATCTGCATAATGAAGAACAAACTCACCGGGCCTTTGTCGAACGACCCCCATGGCTTCAGTCTTTCAGAAGCCATGACGCCTATCCACGACACGTATACAGGACCGGAGATCTCGTTCAGTATCTTCCCGACGGCTCCCTAAAATACGTTGGACGCCGTGACAGCCAGGTTAAGATCCACGGCCAGCGCGTCGAACTGGAGGAAATCGAATCCCACCTACGCCGTTTCTTCCCGGGATCTCAAGATGTGGCTGTAGAAATGCTCCAACGACCAGATGGCGCATCTCAGAAGGTATTGACAGCATTTATAAGACGACGGGCACTGGATTTCACAGGGGAAGAATTCTCAATTCTTGAATCCAGCCAAGAGTTTGTCACAGACGTCCACATTGCAGAATCGCGTCTCGTCCAGAATGTGCCTCGGCACATGGTTCCGGTCACTTTTTTTGCTGTCAATCATATTCCATTGACTAGGTCGGGCAAGATTGATCGGCCCAAACTGCGTGGCCAAGCAACGAAGATCTCGTGGGCTGACGGGGGCTCTGGTGTTCAGCATACCTCCCAGCGACCATTGACCAAGACTGAGCGCAGAATACAATTGATCGTTGCCCGAGTGCTAGAGATTAGGCCAGATGTCGTCGACATCGACGGCGACTTTTTCCAGATGGGCGGTGACTCAATCACGGCTATGCAGCTAGTATCCCTTGCACGTCATGAGGGCCTTTCAGTGACTGTAAGGCAAATATTCACCTTGCCAGTACTAGCAGATCTTGCGAGAGAAGTCCAACAGTCCACATCCGTGTCGGCTTTGACATCGTACGTCGCGGACCCTTCCAACAACACCGATCACGAATCGTTGAGAGATTTGCATTGGAAAGACCTGCCCTTCCGCGAGGATGATGTGGTCGACGTCATTCCTGCAACAATTGTTCAAGGCTTTTCTGCAAGTCGGCCACAGAACTACTGGTTCTTGGAGCTAGCAGGACCGCTGGACACAGCTCGACTGAAGCAAGCCTGCTCAGAACTAGTCGAGAAACACTCGATTCTCAGAACAGTATTTATCCCGCGTGCAGGCCAAATCCTGCAAGTTATCCTACGCACACTATCTCTGGACATTATCGAATGCAACGCCTTTCAGAAGGACTTGAGGCCATTCGTCGAAGAATACAGTCGTCAAGATTTCCCCTCACAAACTCTATACGGATCGGTGCCACTGGCCCTGACACTTGTGAGAGGCAGTGACGAACGTCATATTCTCATAATGCGTCTATCGCACGCTCAGTATGATGGACTATCCATCCCCAGGTTGATGGCGAACCTTCTTGATTTGTACCATCAAAAATCCATCCCCGTCTCCGCAGACTTTGCAACATATGTACGGCATTGTAACCGGAGCCAGACCTCAGCGACATTCGCCTTTTGGAGGTCTCTACTTGATGGTTCATCCATGACTTCATTACTTGATCAGCCAGCAGCAACAGGGGCATTGAATGATTCCAGACCATCAGTCCTAGTCGAATCGATAGCAAATGTACCTTTGCCAACCACCCCTCGGGGAATCACGTTGGCCACCGTAGTCAAGACAGCTTGGGCTTTAGTGCAGTCGAAACTACTGCGGCTATCCGATCTTGTCTTTGGTCAGCTAGTTAGTGGTCGCAACACGGGCGTCCTCGAACTGGAAGATGTCATAGGGCCCTGCATCAACATGACACCTGTGCGAGTTCAAATACACCCGGGACAGACAATCAGAGAGCTACTGAAGCAAGTTCAGGCGCAGCATGTGGAAACGATGCCATTTGAAACGACGGGACTAGATGAAATTGTCAAGAATAGCACTTCATGGCCGGCGAACACCGACTTTGGGTCCATAGTCCACCACCGGTTCTCCCAGGGTCAAAGCGCGCTGGAGTCCAACGAGCTATCATGCCGGATTGACGCGTGGTCACCCCTTTCCATACCTGCAATGAATGTCTGGGTGTCGACCATAGCAGAAGAAGATCGGCTGAGCATCAACATTTTCTCTCGCAGCGAGGTTGCGTCGCAAGCTCAAATCAATCGGTTGATGGAAGAGATGTCTGCCATGTTGGCAATTTGCAGAGAAGGCATGTACGTGCCTGTCGAGGACAGCAATGATGATTGGGTCCATGTTTAACGTCTGTCATACAATGTGAGTAGTATTTTGTTATGGCATAAGGGAAGAAATGGAGTCGAATGGTTTACAATTATTTAGTGATTTCTTTTTATTTGTTGTGTTCTTTTTTCGTATGGGTATATAACTTTCTAGAGTTGTACATATTTTGTCACTTACCTGTAAGAAAGGTGTTTTATCCAGACTGCATTGCTATACGTACAACAGTATCCCATTTTTCAACTATCTTTGTAAAACCAACTATCTTATCCCCTGATACCCATGAACGTGAGGGTCACCAATTATCCAAGAATACCGTACCCCTCTTGCAGTGTAGTGAAAAAGGCGAAAAGTATGGAGTTTGGGCTAAGGTGATGACTGCATTGAGGCGAGTCGGTTCCAAAAGCCTTTTTGTTGTCTTGTTTTTTGAAGCAAATGCAGGGGCAGATGTCGGAAGAGCTGATAATGTACCCCTGAAGAGGATCTGTCACATTTTTTTCTGAGACTGGAAAAAAATACACAAAAATACCTCACACCCCCTCTGCTCTATTTCCGCGGCAAGACATTCAATGTTGTCTACGGATGAAAAAGACATTATTCTGGTAAGTCTCAGCTCTGCAAAAAGCGCCACAATCTGAAAAGGTTCCAAAGCTTATCCAATGACATACCCCATAACTACGTAACCACCAAGGGTCACACTCAGACACGGCAGAGAGATCCCTGCCGCGGGTCAGGCTCAACCTGCGGGCTGTTAAGAAAAGTCTTAAATTAAACCATGCGGTTGGTTAGTCGATCCCGAATAGTCTCGAAGCGGTTGAAGAGGGGTAATGTTCCATTACAGGAAACATGACAGGACGAAGGGATCGCCTGTAAAGGAGATTCGCATACGCCAAGGCTACATTTCGCATCTTGCGAAGTCCCAATGACTGGAGCATAATCATTTCTCGGTCCTACCACGACTTGGAATTTACAAGCCATGCCTGCCAACGGGCATAGGAATGGCGAAAACGGCCTACTCGATGGCTCATCGACCCCGGAGAAGACTCTGCAGCGCGCAGAAGAGACGGACGACTTGATCGACGCTGTGAAATCCCTCATCATCCCCTACATCAGGGCAGCAGATGAAGCGACACACACCAAAGCAACCGGTCGGCCTCAGCGAGATTCCAATGACTGTCGGCGGAACGCACTCGTCGAGCCGCACTCCCCCTCCGAGCTCGTAGAGTGTCTCGGGTTCTCGTTACCGCAGAATAAGGGACAAGGCAAGGACGGCCTCATGAAGACTATTCAGGATGTCCTGCGGTACAGTGTTAATACGTGGGACCAAGGATTCCTGGACAAGCTGACAGCCAGTACAAACGCCGTGGGTGTGGTATCGGAAATGGTTCTGGCTGCGCTCAACACCAACGTCCACGTCTACCGTGTTTCCCCCTCTCTGACGGTCGTTGAAAAGGTCACGGCGCGCGCTCTGGCGTCTTATTTCGGCTTCAAGGGCCCTCACGCCGGCGGAATCACCTGCCAGGGCGGCAGCGCTTCGAACCTGACGTCGCTCGTGACGGCTCGGGGCGTCCTGTACCCCGACACGAAGCTGCTAGGTTGCCAGGGATACCGATTTGCCATCTTCACAAGCGCACAGGGCCACTTCTCGGTCGAGAAGGCCGCGGTGACCTGCGGCATGGGCGTGTCGAGCGTCGTCTGCGTGCCGGTGGACAAGGTCGGACGCATGATTCCCGCGGCGCTGCGGTCTCTGGTATTAGAATCCCAGGCCCAAGGCAGAACGCCGCTGTACGTCAACGCGACTGCCGGAACCACGGTTCTAGGAGCGTACGACCCGCTCCGCGAGATCAAGGCCGTGTGCGACGAGTTCGGCATGTGGCTGCACGTAGACGGTTCCTGGGGCGGCTCCGTATGCTTCTCGGCCAAGCATGGACACAAGCTGGATGGCTCCGAGCTGGCCGACTCCGTCACCATCAACCCGCAAAAGATGCTCAATGTGCCCATGACGTGCTCGTTCCTGTTGACAAACGATGTGCGTAGGTTTCACGCCGCCAACTCCCTGCGCGCCGGGTATCTCTTTCACGGCCAGGAGAGCGACGACGACGTTTGGGACCTGGCAGACTTGACATTGCAGTGCGGGCGAAGGGGCGACAGCTTGAAGCTTGCTCTTGCCTGGGTCTACTACGGCTCCCATGGCTTCGAGCAAGGCATTGATCATGCCTTTGACATGGCACAGCGCCTGACCACCTTGGTGGACAAGTCGCCTAGCTTTGAGCTCGTCTCGACCAACCCGCCGCCGTGTTTGCAGGTTTGTTTTTACCATGCGCCTGGTGGCCGGGCCCCGGACAATGCCGAAGAGAACACGACGCGCACAAGGGAAATGGTGCAGAAATTGGTGGTTCGAGGCTTCATGGTTGACTTTGCGCCTGGCCCCAAGGGCTACCTGTTCAGAGTCGTGGTGAACTGTCAGACACTCGAGGGAACTGTGGATGGACTTTTCAAGGCTCTATATGATGTTGGGCAAGGTGTTTGTGGTGTGGACGAGAACAAGGTCTCTGCATGTGGTTAGACTTGGGCCTTATATTCTTCCTGTCCGGTCTAGAACTATACACAAACTCGATATCATTCAGCTGTATTAAGTGGTCAAACGACTTGTCGGTATTCAGAGATCAACGTTGATTCAGAGCCGGCGTTACAAAGGAGCATACAACAGTGGCCGTCATTTCTAAGCCGCTTAGAGCGAAACCGATGCGGCAGCTCCATTGATGTGCTTGATAGGATGACGATGAGTTGACATGATTCGAAAATTCAATGAGCTGATTCCAGGCCAGGTTGCGGGAAGGGAAATAAAATATAGTACGGAGCGCTGCTGATGCCCATGTGAAAGATTACTGCAACATGATCCCATTTCGATTGTTCTCCGCTTCCTCCTACGACCCTTGCCGTTTTGTCTCTAACATTCCGGAAATGTGTACAAGCAGGCAACCAAGAAGTCATGATCCAACCGACAGGTCATGATCCAACCAACAAATCATGATCCAGCCAATGCTACCCACACCAATTCCCGCCCAGCGCAATACGTACATAAAGCATAAGGTCCCCATCATATTGCTTCCTTGACTTTGCCTCGTTGTCCAACAGGCTCACCCTATATGTATCAAATCCAAATACCTTTTCTAACACTCTAACAATGGCCAACGAGGAGCGCCCTTCGTTTGCCGACGCTATCAAGGTCGACAAGCTTGATTCGCACAACTACAAGGTCAATATGAATGCGGCTTTTAGCATCGGTGCTGGTACGTCCATTAGTTGGCACCGACCTGGCCCTTGTTTTCTCGGCTAACAGGCGACCAATATGGACATACGGCACAGTCCCTAATGGAGGATATACTGCGTCGTGCATGCTGGCCGCTGCGGGCACTCATCTTGCTCTCAGACAGCAGACAGACACGTTGACGACGCACGTCGAGTACGTAAACCGCACGTCGCCAGGCATGGCAATCATTACCATCCAGGACGTGAAGCTTGGCAGGCAAGTTTCTACCCTCCACTTGACACTCTGGCAGGGCGATGGCTTGCTTACCCAGGCACCTTGGGTTACTCCTGGCGTGACTCGCCGTATCATGGTGGCCTGTACTACCCAAATTAATTTGCGCACCTTTGCCGGCATCACCCGTCCAACAGGCTATGAGTCTACCGCCGTTGACTCTATTCCGACCCAACCAGACCTACAAGCCCTTGAGAAAACTGATGGCGATGAGATTTGGGAGGAATCCAAAGTACCTAAGCCATTAACCAAGATGATGTCCTCGCTAAACAACTGGCGATTTTTCGTTCCTCGCAAAGGGCCACTTACACCCGGGGTCATGGACGTGTGGTCATGCCTTTCCAGCGGCGAGCTCATTACGCAAGCTACAATGCCCTATGTCGTCGACTCTTTCCCCTACAATCTACACCTTTTTCCAATTTCCCCAGAGTTTCGTGCCATGATCCCCGGTTGTCGACGAGACAAAGGAGACTGCCGGCCGTCAGGCCGACCTTCAGACAAGGAACAAGGAGCGGGCGGACATATGGTTTCCAACGGTGGTGATGAATCTGGAAAAGAAGACGGCTTTGCCTGAGCGAGTACCAAGTGGCTCAATATGCGCATCACCTCGAAGCAAATCAGCAATGGTAAATTTGATCTGGATATCATTATTCGGGGCGCTGATGGCGAACTGGTCGCCTTGAGCAACCATGTTGCTAAGATTCTGAGCATGAGTAGAAACACGGGGAAGCCTTCATTGTGAGGTAACAGGTATAGAGCAAATGGTCTTCTTTGCCCTGAATATGTTTGACTCCGCGGTATTGGTGTTTAAACATGACTACTTCTAACGACAAGTACCTAGCACGAGTTTCATAAGTGCCGAATTAAAAATACAAGGCCTTGGTAGAACAAGTCGTTTTGCTAACGAATCTACGGATCAAGCCTGCTGCCAAACTTATTATAACTCGCGTCTCCGATGGCGGCAACTGAACATGAAGAATCTATATGCTCAAGTCTACCTCCCCTACAGTGAGCTTCGGATGCTGAGCGAACCGCTCGATCATGCCCTGTAGCTATTGGCAAGCACCGCGACCGCAGAGTCATCAAAAAGATCATTTCGGAGGAGAAACTGTGCAATCCATCAAAATCCGGCCCGTCAACAATGTCAAGATACACGTCGTAGGGGAAATTGAGGTCAAAGTATAAACTCCAGCATGTTGTTGGGCCCAAACGGCATTCGCTTGCGCTGACCCATGCGGTAGTCTATGAATGCTTGGAAAAAGGGCACATATTTTGCCGTCTCTTTTGGTTTCCATCTATAAATGTTAGCTAACCAGCTGCAGACTAGTGGAATTTCACGAGCAAACGTGCTCATTACTACCACAGAGGTCAAGGCACACTCCCCATATAGCTTGGGGAACACGAGTCTGAATACTGTATTGTATTATTAGCAGAAAAACACCCATAGTAACAAGCCACGCCTATGCAGTTTTGGAGTACCGCGACAGATATGTCCAGGTTGCGGCGAAATGGAGAATACGACCCTTGTGTATAAGAGCCACCCAGAACATGAGAGATCTGGCTAGGACAGTCCATTTGAGGTCATGGAAGTTGCTGATGGTCACAGACATTACGGACAGCCGTTGATGAAGCAAGAGTATGTCTATCATGGAAAACAGTGCCGAGAGTGGCAGCTTTCAGCCTCTGGAAGTAGTAAATACAGCTAGCCGCAGGTGTTTCTATCAAATACCGGGTTCAGAAACAGTAATGCCAGAGCTGATATTCGGATGCCATCTCGGCGCCATAACCTCCATAACGGTCAAAACCTTGTCCATCATCTTCAGCCACCGCCGATTGAGCTTTGTGATATAATGGGCCTCGGTGTAATCCTAATATTCCGGGTTCCATCCAGAGTTTCCCAATCAATAATACCTGGGAGCTTTCCATTTTACACTATAACATTTCGCAGATTTAAATCCCCGAGGGTGAATACGACTTAATGCCCGCTGTAATGTGAAACAGGTGGCAATGCGCCGGCTTTAAGAATGTTATTTAACTCTTCCTCGTTTATAAATATCCTAACCAAAACTCCCTAATCTTTATCGTAATTTAACTCTGCGTTGATTCTGTGGTCATAACATGCCTTGCCGAGTGCGCTGGTAATGGCTGGTGCGACCTCCTTTGGTATTGCCCGCAACTCGGCTAGACTTGCTGCATGTCACAAATTAGAGTTTTTAACTCGCTGTCGCTAAGCGTATCAATGCACTTGCCCAAAGATCATGCCATCAACTCTGGTGGTCAGGAGATAAGACTCTTTAGAGTTTGAATTCGTTGGCGCCTCACGAGCTGTAACGCAGCATATTCATTGGCCAAGCTTTCGTGATTCCTCACCCGCGCAATCTTGATGTACATTTCGAACGGAAGTCGTTGAACACGATAGATACGAAACCCCAGAAATGCGAGACCGTTATACGCTCGTATGCGAATACAGGCTGGTACTAACCGCCAAGTCGTTACCACAGCTGCGGCAGCACGCTCCGAGAACTTGCGCCGAAGTGACGCTAAGAGCAATTCAGGGATTTTTCTTGGGTCTTTTACCTGAGATATCCCGCGCGACGAGGGTCCAGAGAATAGGTTTCGCGAAACGCGACAAGACTTGCGATGCAGAGGCGTCCGAAGCATCCACAGCGGAAGCAGAGTAGTTTTTGAAACTGGCATACCTATCCTCTCGAGTCTTCTCTACAATAGAGGGCCAACTTGGACCTCCGATTGTGTTAACGAAAACAGAATACTAGATTTGTGTAAGTGCGAGTGACTCGTACAATTGGAAATATGCACAGGACAAAAAGAAAGGCTCACCTACCTGTGATCTTATAACGGGTAAGAACTAAAAGAATCCTTCTAATAATGCTACTGCCGCAGATTTACGAACAAGCCAGTGATTCTGATAGGTATTTAAAAAAGCAGCTTCTAATAGCACCCAGTCCCGCAAGTCAGGTCCGATAAAAACACCGAGAAGTTCATGCAAACTCTAGGCGAACGTAACAGCTTAAAACAAGAACAGAGATTAGGAGACGTATCTACCTCGTTGACTTGGATCTCCCAGGTTAGACGTAGAGGGGCGACGACCAGCGGATCCCAGATAGAGTTGCCTAGTCCGGTAATGCAGCACCTATCGCGGTTTCTTTTAGTGATGTTAGCGGTGACTATTTTGTCAGGAAATTGACAGGTTGGGCCGTCATAGTTAACTACTGGTCATCAGTACGGCCACTACCTGAAGCCTTGTCGGACTTACATATAGTGATCAGCTGTTTCCAATCGGATAACAGGGGTGGCAGATCGGAGCCCTTCTTTTCAACGAAACATCTCTGGAGTATGTAGCGAGCGGCTCAAAAACGGTCTATTGACTCGAGCATAAAATATTTTAGCAGTTGCCCATCCGGGTACGGAAAGTCGACGCTCCGTATGAGCTTGAACGCCATGTCAAAGTCGCTTGTGTTTTTGGCCATGGTTTGGGTATGGTTAGTCAAGTATACCCAAGAAATAAAGAGAGACAAGAGTTACCTGGATTTTTTTATCGAGGCCAGGTGGTCTGCAAAGCTCAGGGCAACTCCTCTCTTTATAAGACGTTGCTTGGTTGGTTTTGAACTCGAATGTACTCAGGCACCAACAACTTCATCCCGCTCCCAATAGATATTGGTTAGTCATAAGGAGGGCTTCAAGTCAAGTATGTTTAGTTCTCACGCTCAATCCTAGATGCCCCAGAGGCTTTGCCCGGCCAAGATGGGCTCAACTATACAGCCTGTGCCGGAAAGGCCTTGATGTCACGTTCAATGATACTCTTCTAGCCTGGATGCAGCTTGAAATAACCTTGATCTGACGCACGTTTGAAACGGCATTTTTTGACTCTTCGTCGTTGCGATACTCTATGTGTGTTTCGTTGTTGAATTCTTTTTTCAAAAATACAAATGCTTCAATTACCTTTTACACTTTTACAGCCAGCATTCACAAACAAATAGACATGTAGATTGTGAATCAATGTCAAGCATAAGACGAGAAATTCAATACTGTACCACGTTTCCTACTCTTGTGCAGTTCCGTTGCGGTGACCAGTCTAACACAGGAGAAGATTGGTAATTCTTTTTTATGCCCTGTAAACTCTACAGATGCTGAAAATTACACGCCTGAATTGCATTCAGGAGTCTTCCGTGCTAGTATTGAAGAAAAATATCCCATGTATCCTAACCAGCATACATTCGAACTGAGTGTAAGATTCCGGCTGAAGCTGTATCAAGTCTTTTACTTCTTTTCTAACACCAACTTTTTCTTTGTACACTCATAAAGTTTCTACGGCGAATCTACTAGAATAACGCAAGGGCAGGGCCACGTATAACTCACATCGATCGGGCCGTATCGAAAGGCCGCCCGGGTCGGATCGGGCTGGCTTGTGGCTTTCCGATTAGATAGTGCATAAGTATAAGTACCCGCTAAACTGTTTCCCAAATAACCTTAGTCCTGCCTACATTTGCAGCAAGGGTATCCTTGAGTGTCTGCCTTGGAGGGCCCCAGCGGTGACGACAGTAGCCTTTCGGATCTTTCGGATCAGGAGAATGATGCGACGGCCCGCACCGCACAACGTACCAGGCATCAATTACCTCAGAGTTTACTTTGTTGCCCAGTAGCAGGCGGGTAAGAGTGCTGACGAACGCTTGCGTTGCCCCCGTTATGCTTATGCTCTGGACAGGTTGGGGTTGTAGCTGAAGCCAGGCCACGCTTGTTCAAGCCGGGACTTGAAGACACGTTAGTCTCTGTTCTAAGCAAGAAATCAACAATCCTGTCGCCATCTTAGCTTCATCCTACACAGCACCTTTTTTATAATTAATATCCACTACGACCATGAGTCAACAGAGTCCCGTCAAGGTGCAACTGCTGTCCATTCCTGACTGCCCGTTGGTGGCCAAGGTCCGCAACACGCTTAACGATAGTTTGGCAAAAACACGCTCAGACGCAACGGTCGAGGAGCTTGTGGAAGATTATACTTCTCCGACGCTCCTCATCAACGACTTTGAAGTCACCGGTATACCCGTTGCAGCGCAAGGACACAAAAACTGCCGTCATGATCTTCGAAATGAGAAGCAGAAACTAGCTGCTCTTCGGGGCTGTCCGTTTTAAGTTGCGATAATAGGAATAGAGGCAACGGTCGGAAAGTCTGCTCTTCACATTCTGCTGCGTACCACAGAACGTGTAAAATTAGAACATGGCAGCCAAGAGACTTGTAGAAATATAGACGACATCAGGACCGGTATAGAGCCTCTTTAGCGCAGGGGCCATTTTAAGCTAGATGACGAAGGCTTCATCATTGGGGTTGCTGGATTGAGTTGCATTCCAACAGAGCATCAACTTTTTATCGACGGGAAAAGACTCAGCGTATGGTGTTCCTTTGACGTGATTGGCATTTTTGGTGCTCTTCCAGCGTCGGGATTCGCGCCTTTGGTAGACCCGTCTACTAACGATCGCTTGGTCGTCAACTTTGTCAGAGATTTTCCTGATGAGACGAGGCTCATGGTTTTTATGGCAGACTTGCCAGCGGAGGGCTCCGTTTGCAAGGACTAGTGTTGGAGGTCTAGGGGATTTCGCAGATGTGGCAAGATTGAGCAGAACTTGGTCGTCAAGGGCGATGATGAGGCCAAAAATAAGTACCAAAAGAGATTGACAGAGCCTGACAGCGGCTAGGTGGAAACAGAAAGGAACGCTTCAGCCGGTTCTATTTCACATGAAGCCGCTCATACTATAAAGCAAGTTATTCCACGCCGAGTATAGGAGGCTGTCCTCTAAAACAGTCACAGCTTTGCGATACGTCGCTCACAATGCCTTTGCCGAAGCTACCGACATGGCGTTACATCCGGACTTCAGCTGCCTAGAACCCTGCAACTTTCTTATATTCTCGTCTTGGTCCACCAAATGCGACCGGCTCCTCAGCAGGCCCCAACACTCAATGCCGCTCGTGCTCGAATGCTGTGTAACCAGGAGCAATTTAACCCCGTACTTTAGGTTGGCCGCCCTATGTAGTTACGAAATACATTCCACAGGGCTGGGCATACTGAGCTAACGGCAGTATAACGGTCGCAAGCTGTCCTGGTCCATCTGAACACCGTGCGACCATGACGGCTAGAACAGGCCACTCTAGCTACTCACTTATATTGAATTATACACACAACTGAGGCTTTATCGGCCGCGGCACACGGTAATTGGTACATGTAGCTCCATTTAGCTGATTCCTACCCTTGCCAGCCGGGGGGGCGAGGCAATACAACACCATCCAGCAGGTGACAAACAAAAAGATGCGTCTACTTGTCCTTAAACATGCCATGATTGTAACGCGTAATCAAGCGATTGACTAGCCCTGGAGCCTTTACGGTCACAACAACTCCACAAAGGGTAGAAACTTCCTCGGTCCCACGTCTCCAGTGGTACAGACTCCTTTTTTTAATTTTAATGTCGATCTTCCCGTCCCCAGTTCCGCCGCGCCGCAAAATAGCACGCTGCACGGTGAGATTGTGTTCCCGGTATCCGGAGGATTCGAGGCAATGACGCGCGAGGGAGGCATCAGGCTTTACATGGCCACAGTATCCGGCGCTCCGTCTCTCAAAAGACGATGCCGCGTGTAAATGTCTAGTGTCAGTTTTCTTTGCGCCGCATTAGAGCACCACAAAGTTCGGTGTTTTCGATGCCTTCATCCTGTTGAAAGAGACCGAGTCGGCCACTAGCAGAACTGACCAGTTCGGAGTAGAGTTTCCCTCAAGACAAGGGTCCATGAAGGGGAACCGCTTTGCGCATGCTCCCAATATCCTTTTGGGCCAGGCTAATCTCGGCCGGAGCCGCAGGGCCGCCATGTACATGGTTGTCGATTTCACATGTCTGAATTGAATCCATGATTACAGGCTTCCTACCCCGGTGCCGGGACTCTCTAGCATTCGGATTTAACAACCACACCGCCAGTGCATGGAAACTTGCTAGTCATCGGGATAGCATTATCTGGGCCTTCTCCGGCAATTTTTTCTTTCATAATACGAAATCTGGGCACTTATTGACAAGGGTCATGTTGAGATCATCTCACGGACCTACCCGAAAGAGGTGCCGGGAAACCATCTTCGGGCGTGATAACCCCAGACAAGCATCCGACGACAACTGAGCCTAACAAACCGCCTGCATAAGAATTTCTCGGAGACATCAAGTATTACCTGCTTTTCTACTGCAACGTAGCCGGTGAAGTATAAACGAAAGTACCTGTGAAGATGGTTCAGTCTGTGCTTGCTTTTCGGGACAGAGTCCTCACCTTCGCGCTGGGAAAAATGTCCGACTCAAACTAGCATTGCTGGCCATGCTTTCACTATTTAACTCGTCCCTTTCCCTCAACCCTCTTCGTCATTCTTCATCTGTTTGTATCGTCCCCCATAGTCCCAAGAGCCTCCAGGCCATATCGCCACAATGCTCGTCGCGCGGTGTTTCTCGCTCCTTGCTACCTTGGCCTATGTCACCGCGGTGCCTTTAGCAGAGAGAGCAGGGCTCTTGCCTCCGAGCCAAGATCCATGGTATCAAGTGCCCAAAAATCTCGACGCCATTGAGCCTGGTTCCATCTTGAAGAGTCGGAAGCCTCCGGCTCCTATTGCCTCTTTTGGGATCAAGTCGGTCAATCTCAAAGACGCCCATCAAATCATGTACAAGACAACCAACAGCTTCAACCGCTCAACCGCAACAGTCACCACCGTCTTGATCCCCCACAATGCAGACTTCAACAAAGTACTGTCTTATCAGTCCATTGTGGACGCGGCCTTTATTGACTGTGCGCCATCGTACGCTCTCCAACTGGGGTCCAAGTCTGGTGTAGCCTTTGGGACATTCACAACCCAAGCCGAACTGTTCCTAATTGCGACTCTCTTGGACAAGGGCTGGGTCGTTGTTTTGCCCGACTACTTGGGTCCGCACTCTGCCTTCCTTGCCAACAAACTTGCTGCACACGCAGTGCTGGATAGTATCCGGGCTGTAACCAAGTCGACCGCTTTCACGGGAGTTCACCAGAATGCCACAGTCGCCCTATGGGGGTATTCTGGGGGCAGCGTTGCAACCGGGTGGGCAGCTGAGCTCCATGCGTCGTACGCACCGGAGCTCAACATCGTCGGAGCCGCGCTTGGCGGTACGGTGCCGAGTATTCCCCCCGTTATCAAAGCCGTCAACAGGGGCTACGCTGCGGGTTTGTTGCCGTCAGGCTTTCTAGGCTTGTCGGGCGAGTATCCCGAGCTCAAGAACATTATTCAAGAACGAGTTCTACCGCAGCACAGACCGGCCTTTGAGAAGGTCAAGAAGCAGTGTCTAGTGGCTGACCTCGAGGAGTTCCCGTTTGAAGACGTCGTCTCCATGCTCAAGGACCCGTCTGTGCTTACATCCGGCGCGCTTGCCAGCATTTTCAACGACATCGCGCTGGGAAAGAGCACGCCCAAGATGCCCCTTTACGTATACAAGCCAGTTCATGACGAGATTAGTCCCGTGGCTAGTACGGACGAGTTGGTCAAGTTTTACTGCGCCAATGGCGGATCGGTCCAGTACGAGAGAGACTGGGTTTCCCTTCATGGCACGCTATTGACTACTGGTGCTGCGAAGGCTCTGTCCTGGTTGATCAGCCTTGTTGATGGGAAGCCCCAACCCACCGGCTGCTCTACTAGTAACGTGGTTTCCTCATTATTCGACCTCAAGGCCGTGGAGATTTTCCCTACGGCCATCCTGGACGCGCTATTGGCACTGGTTGGACGGCCTATTGGTCCCCTTCTTTAATGTCATAGCAGGACGGTTCGTTTGAAGTTTTATTGTTCTCCCAGGCGAGACATTTTATATCGTAGAGAGATATTAACACTTTCTGTAATTTCTGCACACCGTTGATGAAAAGAAGTCATTTTGTTACTGTGAACGTCTGCGCGCCGAAGTTCTCCAATAATGAGTGAAGCTTGTTACACTTTATCAACTTCACAAATAGTGTACACTACCCGATTTATTGGGCCGTTAATCCATGACCAAATAGATACAATAATAGCGTCTTTTTGGCCGCATCTTCCTAATATGCGGCATGTAAGTGTGCCCTTTTGCCGTATGACAGCCAGACTACCGAGCTGAAACGTCTTGGCGGCCGAAAGTTCAAACATGTAACTGGCTAAGCCAGAGAGTGAGTACTACATTCCAGTATCTGTCTCTCCATTAGGAACCAATCATCTTACACGTTGCCCCATGTGATCCAGATGCGCTACATGGCATTACCAGGCCGATTTCGCAAAATCTCTTGACAAAGTATCAAACCATCCATCATAGCCTTTCCCTGGAAAAAACCACGTTGCGCCAAGTTAGGCCCGTCGCTTAAACAAGATTAAATACAAGTGTTCATGCAAAGCCAGTTGTACTTGTTATAAAGTAGACTCAAAAATACCCCTCGCCGCCAAGCATGTTTCTTCGCATCGACCAAGAGCTCCGCTTTCCTGCAATAAAGCAAGGGCCTAAGAAACATACAGAATCACTTGAATACACACTCCTGTACAGAGTCGCTTTCCAATACCCCTACTCCACACAGACACCCCGAATCATCTTGCGGTAAGACGTACACTTGGCGACGATTGGCGCAAGTCAGCCAGTTGTAACCCTAACCCTAGCCACTCCCGCACCAATGCGACCGGTAAACTCGAGCCAGTCACCAGAAAGAAGCATCTTCCATTGCTAGTGGTAGTAAGAAAAAAGGAACGTCAAGCATTTCACGAAGACCAGGTAAAAAAATTTCGCAACCGGTAGGTAGTGGGTTAAGGTAGGGAACCAAAAAAAATGAATTGATTAGGTCCGGCCGGGATTCGAACCCGGATCGCCAGATTAAATGAGCCAATGCCGAAGTCAAAGTCTAGAATGCTAGCCTTTACACCACCGGACCAATGGTGATTGTTGTACTCAGCGATTTTATTACGTACTATATACCCTGATTTAGCCACAAAAAAAACCGGTCAAACGGGCCGGCTAGTGCAAATAACGTCGGGTACAGACTGGAGGCAAAGTGCACAGCCCCAAACTTGAACTTTGCGGTCCATCATGCATGGTGAACGATGATGTGCATCAAGATGCGTATTGCGCAAGCGTGGATGCGAATCGTGTCTAATTAAATCAGTCCAATTTCCGAGTCCTAGTTACGCGCTGCATGACGGGCGATTACGGTTGATTACGCGCCCATGAGGGCTGATTATGCGCTCCATAACGTCCATGGTGTAGCAAAAATTTGTCATGTAACTTATTAAAAAGGATGTAACATATGCTTAGGCATATCTAGACATGGTTGGTATGCATCTTCTCATATGTCTTCATGAGGTATCGAGCCTCGTCAAAAAAAAATTCGCTCCCTCAGCTTTGCGGATTGCATCCCATTGGCAATATGGGTATGCGCAACCTTGGCTGGAATGCTCAACTCGAACAAACAAATAAGACAAAATCCCCATCATCCAATGCCAGTTCTGCAAAACTTCAAATTGCGTGGCCTCTCCCCTTTTTCTCTCTCTCTCTCTCTCTCTTCTCACGCACATAACTAGTAGTACCCAATTTCATCGTGATCCGTCGCCCCGCACTCCATTCCAAGCTTCGGTAGAGTGCCCCATTCATCACCAAGGCCCTGTTGTTGACATGTTCGCTCGGCATGCGGGTCGCTCTCACTTCGGGTGTGCATGGAAACGCTCATAAATAGCGACCTCTGCTGGGTATCTTGCCTGACGTCTCTTCTTGTCGACGGTGCATTCAAGCGCATCTAGGCCTGAATGCGGCGTTTCACAGTCCACAAAGTCCAATCCATATTCACGACAGCTACAAACCATCATCATGCTCAACCCGACCATCCCAACATCTCCAATGTGCCTCTGGCTTCGGACGGCGTCATTCCAGCTACACCCAGATGTCGAACCTGCGTACCGCCGCGCAGACGTTGCAGCCCAAACGCAAGCTTCCAGCTTTCTGTCTCGTTCATGACAAACACATATCTCTTTCCTTCTTGGTCACGTACGCTGGCACGGAGGACGTGCAAGCCCTTTGACTTCCAAACTCCAGTCTGACCGGTCGAAGACGGAATGTTAGTATTCTTAAATGTACGCTCGCACAAACCAAGACGGCAGCAATCCTTGCAGGCACGCAGCATCTCAGTAAGATAGGCATCGGCTTCATCACCGTTCAACACCTTTTGACTGTCGCGGTCTGCGTTTCTTCGGGCTGTTGCCATCTTATAAAGCAAATGGGGGGCGCTCTTGGGTCCGGACGTGGTGTTGGAAGTAGCAGAAGCAGACAATTTCAAGCAGTGCGGGGGGCACCATACCTCGACAAGTTTGAGAGTCCATGCCTTGACGTCCCACTCACGTTGGGGAACGCCACGGACGTCGTCGTCGATGAAGAGACCTTCAGTCGTGATCCGCAGGATGAGGCCATCCGTGACGGATCCTACGCCAGAGACAAGTTGACTAGCTGGTGTCTTGGAGTATTGGCTCATGAAGAGATACACAGCCTGAATGACAATCTTGTCAGGGTCCTTGGTTGAATACGGACCACGAACTGACGGCGGTGGCGAGGTCCGGGCGGTCGTGTGAGACTGCGCCCACGACGCATCGGAGCCGGCAAAGGAGGAGAGGGACGGTCTCCGATTCTTTCTGTTTGGTTGATCGTACGGCCGGTACGAATACGCATCATCCTCGGGAGTACTGACATATGTCCTCGCTGTCGGAGCCGGGGGCTTCTTTTCGGGGCTGGGTGGATTGTTGGTTTGCGGTGGAACAGGTGGCCTGCCATTCGGCCACATGTTCGTCTTCTCTCCAACTCCTGAGAAGGCATATGTGCTTGCTACCCGCATACCTCCTTCCGTGGCGCTAGCCTCTTTCTTCTTTTGCTCCTCTTTTTCTGTCCCGAGCTCCTTTTCTTTTTCCTTTTCCTTTGCCTTTTCCTTTTCTTCCCTTTCTCTCTTTAGTCTTTCGACAAGTTCCTTGCGCCGCTGTTCAGCTTCTTCCTTGAGCTTTTTATCCTTGATCTCTTTTTCCTTTCGTTCTCTTTCCTTCTCCCGCTCTTGTCTCTCCCTCGCTTCCTTTGCCCTAAGTTCAGCAAGTCGTCTTGCAGCTTCTTCTCGGCGCTTTTGTTCTGCTTCCTTTGCTTTTCGTTCTTCTTCTTTCTTTCTCGTCTCCTCACGAGCCTTTTCCCAAGTACCTTTTGGTGTCTGCGGCTTAGGCGAGCTGGGCTTGGGCGAGCTCGGCTTGGGCGTGCTAGGTTGGGGAGTGCTGGGCTGGGGCGGATCGGGCTGAGGCGGTGGTCGTTGCCATGACGTTTTCGGCTTCTCTGGCTCTGGACGAGGCGGCGGTGACTGCGCTCGTGATTGCGGTGATGGTCCTCCTCCTCCTCCGGCGGGTGGTGGAGGGGGACTGCCATGAGGCGGCGGAGGGGGTGGTGCTCCTCCATGTCCCCTGGCATGAGCTCCTCCGTTGGGAGATGCGCCCGGAGTTGAGGATCCGAAACCACCTGGTGCGGTACCCGGTGCGCTTCCTCCGCTGCTGTACGAACTTTGATAATGGTAGTTTGAGCCCGGTGTGTCCTTTTGCGTCCGTCCCAATGCCCAAGCACCAAATCCAACACCGAGCATCAGAAGTGTTATACCCATGTTGCCCAAGCCTTGGAAAGTCTCCCACCACGTACGAAAGGCCGGCGCCATGCTTTGGAACAAAGCCACTAATATTAGAGCTGAGGCAAAGCCTGCGAAGAAGCTGTTGACGCTAGGTTTTAACGACGGCAGATACAGGAAACCAGCGCCCGCCGAATGCTCCGGTATAACAAATATATCATACTTGCCTGGCGGCAGGCCAGACGACCTCGGCACCTCGCCATGCGGCGGAGGCGGAGGTGGTGCACTCATATTCGTCACTCACTTCTGAAGGTTCGCAGGTTGCCGACTAATATACGTATTCGATGAGGTGCCAGCAGACGAATGATTGGTGGTTTTCGACTATACCGATCTCGCAGCGAACATGAGACTCTTTTTTTTGGATGGAAAAAAGTTCTATCAAAATTAGCAACTGTTGAAATAAGACAAGGACGTATTACTAGAAATATCGGGAATAGCGAACCGTCTGGCAGGCTTGTTGCAGTTGCACCTCACTCAACGTGGAAATCAGGGCCAACAGAAAGCGAGAAAGCAAACAAACGCCGAGCTCCAAAACAAATGATGCAAATGATAAGGCCGAGAAACGAAGATGCAAGCCGCTCGCAATGCTGGAAGGGAACAGCTTCAAGAGGACCAAAACAACCAACTGGGGTATCACTGCACTGCAGACGATTAGGAGAGGCAAATGTCGATGCAAGGTGAAGATAAAATTGCCCGAGGCTGGCTGCGAACCCGTGGTTCTGCAGCTCTGAGCTTTGGCTTGGGTTGACTGGCTCACTTGGGTCTGTGGATCTTGTCGCATTGTTTACGTTGAGAGCTCGGGGTCCAGTCAAGTCGTAGTTACCCAGGAGCCCTGCCATCTTTGGTGGCGAGTCGGGGTCCCAGTGTCCTGTGCTCTTCAATGTTTCCTGCTCAGTGGACGGGCGGGTGGGCGGACAGGCACTTGGCACGGCACCTGGGACACACTTGGCAGCTTAAGTCCCTGGGCTCCAGCGCTTATTGATTGAGTTCTGGTGATGAGGCGGGGCAGGCAGGGGCTCGAGTGGACGCAACAGCGGCGGGTGTATGCTGAGGCCCAGCACCAGACTGCTCAAGAGGGTGTAGTGCGGTGGATGCAGCACTGGAGGTGAGTCTGGTGGGTGTACTCCGTACTGGGCGTAGTGGGTGCCTAGGTGCTGTGGACGCCGTCAGCCAGCCACTAACCATCGCTGCGGTTGGTCCCGCATGCCGCTAAGCATCAAAAGCTGCCGCAACGGACACCGACACCGCCAAGTCTTGCCGCAGCTCCAGATGTCAGCTTCCAGATGGCTGCCTTCAAGAAACAATCGCGAGGCAAACACCGAAAAGAAAGAAGTAAGAGGCGGGGGACATGCAAATTACATAAAGGCAGACTAGGTCACCAAGCCCTTCCCATGACTCTTTTTTCACCAAAATCACAAGCAACCCGGGCAGCAAGGTGGGCAGCGGGGTCGTGCAACGTGGCAGAAACCTCTCAGCGCTTCACCATCTGCATCCCTGACACGGAACATTCATTGGAGCATCGACACGGGCCATGGATGATTTAATGGTCCGGAACACGCCAGACAAAACACGCAGACCTGCAGAGCTGCAGACTCTCCCGTCGTCGTTGGTTTGCATTGATGAATATCGACCGTGTCTCCGGTTCGTCACCAGCAACAAAGCGCATTGATGTCTGGTCCATTCAACATGTGCCCCTGTTGGACATGCTGCAGACTTTTTCCTGGGACCATCAAAGGCCCATGGATCGACCAGACCAGACCCTTCTACAATATTGCAATAGGGGTTGACGAGTCAAAACGACCAGGTCGATATTACGGACCACCCTACCGAGATGCCGAGTATTACGAAAGGCATAGATAGACTCCTTCGCCATGATCCAGACTTGCAGAGAGCTGCCTGTTCTGCGAGACGCATCCCAAATTCGTCATCACCTTGCACCAGTTGACGCTTCTTCTTACCAGTCAGAGCCATCACCTCTCACCTCTTGCCTCCGCCGCGGCGCTTCCGCTTCTCCCGGCGAAGTGATGCGGAATGCCAGCCCTGGCGGTCAAAGGCGCTTGTCACGAGATTCGCTTTGGCTCCGCCATAGCCTACTCCCTACTCCCTAATACTCCGTAATCATGCATGGATATTAATATTTTGCAGATAAAAGTCATGCGCACAGGGCAGACCAAAGGGCACGGTGCAACAACTAGTCGGAGCCACCGTCCCAGAACAATAGGAAGGAAAGAAAGGGGGAAACGAAAAGCCACCAAACCAAATCATCTAGCTCTAGCAATTCGTAATGACAGTGTAGAACCGTACAACGTAGAATCTAAACAAGCTCCTATCCTCCTGCACCGGGCTATTGCAGGATTGATTGAGATGTAACGACAGGGCCCAAATATTGCCCAGCCGGCCTGCATTGCATCAGGGCCCTCATTGTAATTGTGTCACCCACCCCACGGCCCAACGGCAAATTTATCCGTTGCCCGGCAACGAGCGCCACGACGCGTCGGTCAGGTGACGTAACATGATCCCGTATCGAGGTGGATACCTGAGTTACGTAGTGCCGACAATGCGCTTCGACGAAACAAGTTCGGCTAGCTCACGTCGGTAGATGGCGGTACAATGAGAACAAGCGTCGTGAGGTTCTGTTTCTTGCCACATATGCCAAAGGACAGGTTTTGCATTTTGATTATTTTTTGTCTCGTCAAGTCTTCTAGATTGATTTGTGTAGCACAAATACGAAGATGTACAATTATGTATCCCAAGCTTTTGGCGCTAAACGTCTAGCTGCCGCACACATCCCACATGGCCATGTAACGCTCAACGGCTGTTGGAAACATCAACTCACAAGACCAGACACTTTAGCCGAGTGCCTGGGTGGTTGAAGGCGTTGCGCTGCCATGGCCAGGCAATGGGCTCGCCCGCACAGTTTCGACATGCAGGTATCGGCATCTCTTTTGGTTGATCTTTTCTGCGAAATGCCAGTAGAGTTGCCTCTGGTTCCGATTTGGTTGACAGTCCTCAGCTTAGTCATGTTTAACATTCTGATCCAATTCACAAAATGGCAAGGCTCTAAAACCTTCGGAGGCTTGGAAGCTGTAGAAAGAGTTATACACAAGACAATCATTCAGGCTAGGATGCTGGTTAAGAGGCTTCTAAGGAATCAAAGAAACCAAAGTCACCAAAAAAAAAAAGGGAGCGAAAAAATTCACTGACGGCATTGTAGAGCTCACGGTGCTAGACGAGGTACAGGTACAGGCCTTGTATCGCGTATGGGCGGGAAAGAACGGCTTTGACAAAGACAAGACTAAAAGATTGAACGCGAATAAGAAGAAACCCGGCCGAAATGATATCGAGGCCAAGGACAAAGAATTCGAGACTTCTGTCTACCAAAAATCAGTACTGGTCTACAAGAGGTTGGAGACGCTCTCAAGTTGCCACATGGAATATCCAGCAGCTCAACGGACAAAAAGCTGTTGTTGTGGTCAACTGTCCATTACCGTGAACATCCATCAATCAACCAAGTCATTTCCAGTCTTTCGGGCCTGAGCAATTGATTAGTTCCCGCCGCAAAAGTCAATTCGCTCAAGGGTGAGTTCCGCAGACACCCCGGCATCCGTCGCAGAGAGCTCAATTAACCACCAGACCAGTTTGGGCGCCATAGCATGGCGACCATGATGGCTGAAAGAATGGAGCGGGAGCGTATCCTGGCGCTCTACGGAGACTCCTTCCCCCGGCCCGCGGACGGGGAGATCATCTCTCAATTCGGCGATCGCTACGTGGTGCGCCAAGGAACAGCCATCACGAAATACACCAAACGTAAAACCGGCATGGGCGCCAATGACCACCCCAACGAAGCCTTGGCCCTTCGCTACATCAGCGAGAATACCTCAATTCCTGTGCCCGAGGTGATTTGCAGCGACTGGGACCGCATCGCCATGGAATATATGGATCAGCTTAGAGGGTACATCTCGCAGATGCGTGCCATACCCGGCAACTTTATTGGTCGCCTCGACCACCAAGGTGTTATAATTCTGGTGGGCCGTTTGCAAGAATGGCTTGTTCGACCGCCGCATCGGTTGGACTCAGAGTCGATGTAGTACGGCGATCTTGCCACACGAAACATCATGTACGTGACGGTCGCATTGTCGCCATCCTGGATTGGGAGTATGCTGGGTGGTACCCGGAGTACTGGGACTACGCCTTTACTATATCTGGTTTGGATTACATTGACTGGGAGACACTCGGCAGCCGTATTCCTAATCTCTTTGATCAGCGTTATGTGATGAATACATTCTAAAGATTCATTGTGAGCCTTTCTTGATCACACATACGAATCGATTCCGAAAACGAACTGTAACGCGTGAGTTGGACATGATCTGTTAGAAATCCACTAGACAAATGGTTTTCTATTTTCTCCAAGAGTACCTATAATACGGAAGACATTTAGGCCCTAGTTAACAAGCATCCCCTCTATGTTATCAAGCACCCTTTTTGTGGCTAGCTGTGGCTGTGACACCCAGCTGTGACACCCGATACCGGGCCCCCATAGAATTTTGTATGGGGATAACGTAAAAGCTGTCTGTACGGTCGCGCCTTTATGAAAAATCGCTTAATTTAATTAATTTAAATGAAGCTATTCCGAGATATCTATTATTTACACCGGCTATCGCATAATATTATCTATCGCGACTGCCTGCTACGTTATTTCTTTAAAGACTTAATTTATTTAACCTTTAAATTTAAGCGTAATATTATTATTCTAAATAAATAAGGTATTTTAACTGCTTTATTATAACTTTATAAAAGGACGTTATAAGGCTTTTAGTAATAATTTCTTTAATATTATAACCGGAAATTTATCAATTTTATTATAATCTTTAATTATAATTATAATACGTATATAACCTTAAGAGCTCTTAATACCTGTTACGAACGTCACTGCACGAGAC